TATCCCGAACGGTAAGTGTTGGATATCCTGAATGGTAAGCGTTGAATATTCTGAATGGTAAGGTTACTGTAAAATCGGCTATTTGTAGTAGTGGTGGGAAAAGAGTATGGTTTTCCAGTTACATAGTAGGAAGATACTATATTGGGCTGTGGTTGGCTTGAAAAATCCACGGGCGAGCGTCAGCGAGCCAACTCCGCTCGTATGCTTAGTACTCTCCGCATCCCGCATCAGGTCTCCTGAAATTAGAGCAAATAAATCATCTAAAGAACTCACGTGAAAGTAACTACCTAGCTGTAAGATGGCTTGTAACGCTTGCGGACTGACGAGGAAACATTCAAAAATTCGACGTCGAGGCTAAAATACAAGGTAAAGTCGAGAGTTTTTTACTGTAGGAGGACGCTCGAGCCACTGCTACAACCCCAGTCACGACTCACGAGATGCCCAGGCTGGCCTGTGCTTATTAGACAACCCAAACCATAATCTCGGTGACTCGGTCGGATCTCCAACTCCACAATCCAGTTCCTTCGCCTTTCTTCCCTCTCCGCAGTGCCAACGTTCATCATTCGGCCATATTTGGAGCGGTAAACTCAGCCTGGACCTGATTGTCATGTGCATTATGATGGATCGATCAAGCACTAGCGAAACCGATTCACGCCCTCTAGGCCCGACTGTATTCGTTTTCCTGGCCGGATCCTGACGACCACGATCCGCTACACAGAATGCCGGGATTCGATCGCTCTGTCCGAAGTGTGCTGGCTAGCAGCAAAACCTCCTTGACCGCCCACGAAAACATTCGGGCTAGACGGTCACAAGTTCCTTCCTGATGACGGATGAAACTGGGTAGGGTAACGCAGCCCTGGCTTCCGCTGAACAACACTGTCAGCATTCCCTCAATATACATATCGGCAACCCCTGCTACGCACACATAGTCGATAGTTGCGATGGGGATATCTTCCTCGAAAGGAACACGATCCAACTTGAAATAGCGTTAGGAAACGACGCTAGGGTGGACACAGCGCTAAAATCAACGGCACACATTGGAACTTGCGAGCGTATCGCCTCGTCCGTCGCTACTTGTCTCGCCGCACAAATGGTCTGCGATTACCGTTGTTGCTGGCGCGAAGGAGGCTACCTTTGTCTTCAGGCGGTTTCTGCTGTCTAAACTGGCGCATTATGAAGCCAGATTACCAGACTTGCTCCGAGTTTATCATTCTCGGTTCTGGGCTGGCCCAAAACATATCGGGGCTCAAGAAGCTTTGGGTCAGTCAAGCAAGCGAGCATTGGCAACTGATGATGTCGCCAACTGGTCGCTCTCCCACAAGCAGCTGCCCTATGAAGGACCGTGGCCGGATGGAAGGGGAGGATCAATCCGGCCACTAACAGTTTGGGAGAGCCTGCCAACATCGTGCAAAGCGACTGCTGCTTACTCTTCTTGGATCAGTATGGGCTCGGAGATGGGTTGGGTTGCACTCGTAAGCGTATCGTGCCGTATATAGTGGTCTCTGCTTGGTGATCAAGTGTCCGCAAACCTGGCATTTCATGCTTTGGTTTGCAAAGCCGGATATTGAAGGGTGGGCTTGAGACCTACTCTGGTGGATGAGGCTCGTGGAGCGGGATCCCATTTCTTTGTGGCCCTCGAAAGCCAGCCCGAGACGGTTCGGCGACCAAGCAAGCACGGGGCAAAGCGCTCGCCGCTCCGTTACGCTGGCTCAATGGAACGACTGGGTGGCGAGTCCTCCTACCTGCGGTACCCCAGAATCTATCGACGGAACGACTTTTGGACTTTGCCGGAACGCATTCATGCTCAGGAAGATTACTGCATCAAACCAGGAAGGCAAGCTAGAAGCAGGCTCTGGGTCTGGCAGTTTGGAGGAGCTTGGGCGACAGCAGCGGGGTGGGGTGTTCTCGGACCTCGATCTTCTCGCAGGACCCGTGGACACTCGGGCACCTCTAACTTGGTATCGCCGCCGGTTGGGTAGGGCCTTGCGCATCACCTCTCCGGAAAAAGTCAACAATAACACCAAGCAACCTGGCGACAAGAGGGAACCGAAAACGTGCGTGGGGCCCTATTCGTTGTTGCATGTGCGACGCACTTTTTCTATCCCGAACTCAACTCTTGCCCGCATCGGCGCGTTTCTTGGACTTCCAGGTTCCGGGGCAAGGTTCTACACAGCATCCGCTGAGGTTAACGGATTCAACTTTCCAGATGAGTAAAAGCAGCGGCTGCGAACCTAGCTAAACGACCAACGGTCTTCCTCTACAGCTGCCGTACTTTAGGTAATCTCTGCACTGTTCACAGTGCAATCCGGGCCTGGGCTCTAGTAGGGCCGGGTGCTGCTGTCCAGGCTGACGCCGGCGTGGAATAGCGGCTGACCCCTGTCCCTCGGCAAGGCGACCCGCCGCGCCCTGGCCACTAAAACTCAGTTGTCGAATCCTGTGCCGCGATGGACGACTCCTTCGCACTTTATCAGCACCGAGACAATGCTGCATCGCCAAATGGCAGCCGCGACACCCGAGAACCCCAAAGCCGCCGTTGGGACGGGAATGACCTCGGCATGACTACTTCACCTAGATCTGTGTCGCTGCCCGCTGTTTCCGTGAACACGTCTTTCGATTCTGCCCGAGAGCGAGCCCGGAAGCGTCATCACTCCAGAGCTCGTCCTCCGCCGCCGCCGCCTCCTCCACCTCCTCCCCGTCGTGTTCCTCACCGCGGTCGGCCGGTAGAATCATCGCATCCAGCTTCCCACCATCACCGACGCGAGCGGATCCGCAGTCCCAACTACCACGCCAACCGTCCGCTGGAAACTTCGGATCCTCCACCATCTGGTCGTCGAGGGCGTCCTCGGGATCCTGCTCCCCGCTACGATCCTTCCTTCCCCCCAGAACGCAGCGATCCGATATCTCCCTCCGCGAAGCCTAAGAAGGATCCTCACGAGTGTTCACGTCCTCATTCCCACCGCAGAGTGTCACCGTCTCCAAACGCAGGCAAGCGCCAGCGCCGTCCTAGCCCATCCTTTGCCACTGAGCAGCCGAGAAACGACCGGCCAGATCTCTTCCCAGAGAAGCTAGAGAAAATTGTATCGTCGAAACCTCAACAGCCCAAAGGTCGCCGTAGCCGCTCTCCTAACAAACGCCGCTTTCGCTCCCCTGACTCGTGTGACCGGCGTTCTACTAAGGGCCCTCGACGGCCTGGCAGCTCTAGATCTTCGGATCCTCATCGCCGACACCGGTCTCGATCCCCTCGTGGCCACAATAGTATTGCCACTCAGCACGAGGGTGACGAGCGTCACCGGGGCAGGTCGCCCAGTAGCCGGTACCGGTCTGCACGGGCCAGGACTCAACGTCGGTCGAGGTCGCGTCCCCGCAATCCTCCGAACGATACAGCGAGGGATAACCGGCCGCCAACTTCCCCTGATCCAAGCTCTGTCCGAGTGCCGCTACGACCGTTCTCACCCACCTCTCCACGGGCACGCCGAGATCCGGAGTCCAGGCAGAAAGCCAGAGCTCGTGACGAGCTCCAGTCTTCTAGGAGATCTGGCCCTGTTTCTGGCGCCAACAGTGTTCAGGTAAATATGGCGGCTAGAGGCAGTTACCGCGGGGGCTTCAATCCCCAAATGCAGTCTGGCTATCCCTCTAAAGGACAATACGATGCGCGCGGATACGGTCAGGCTTCCGGGCACGGGACTCCTGCGTCCTCATTTCACGGCTCACCATCTGCCCAATCGCCATATGGCGGCAATGGACGCGGTTGGAATGCCCAACCATCATTTTCACCTCAAAGGTTAGTTCATTCATCTCTATCGGATGTCTGGAGCTCACAATTCAGCAGCCAATATCCCCCTCCTTATCCCCACAGCAATTATGGGCCGCCAACAGGCCCGCAAGGGCATTATCACCACCCTAGCCAAGCACACTCTCCTCCTTATCCCCCTAATGGTCCCTCATCCCAATACAACCCGGGACCTTTCCGCGGGAGCCACAGGGGCGGATCGGGGGCGTTTCGCGGCAGCCAATTCTCTCCCGCTCGCGGGGGTCCCCGAGGTGGTTTCAAAAGCACCCAATGGAGCCCACAGGGTAACAGCGGCCGAAGCCAGTTTACGCAAAGTGATGATGCAGATCCGACTCGTGGAACTGCTTACAAGTCTCCGAGCGGTCATGCTGAGCCGGCGCCCGTGCCCGTGCCCGTGCCTGATGACGTCCGCATGGAGGACGGCGAGAATCCGTTCAGGCCGTCGAAGGATTTGCAGGTTGAGGATACAAGCAAAGACGACAAATCAAATGAAGAGCAGATGCCGCCTCCTAGTCGGGCCCCCCCGACTGGGCCGCAGTCGCAGAACCCTAACAAATTCAGCTTCAGCATGAAGAACGCGTCGAAGCCGGCAGTCACGGCACCAAGACCTGAAATATCATCCAAATTCAATGCAGCCCCAGCATCACGGGAAACCCCTTCAAAACCAGCCCAGAAGGCCCCTCCGACAAGACTCGAGCGAGACCGAGATGGGTTTCCGAAAAACGTTCCGACCGAGCCAGCATCGGCACGGGCCCGCCCCAGCGGTCCAAGCGATCGGAGACCCCCTGAACCGACCAGGCGGCTCGACAGGACACCTAAGACTCGGAAGGTGAAAAAGATTGTGAAGCGCCTAAAAGAAAAGCCTACACTCCCTCCCGAGTTGGCCAGTTCCAAATCGGTTTTCTTCCGGAAGCCCGGTAAGGAGTCAGTCGTGGGCTCAGGTACGTACGGCAAGGTCTTCAAGGGGCAGAATGTATACACCAAAAAGCTGGTTGCTTTGAAGAGGATCCGAATGGAAGGCGAGAGGGACGGTTTCCCCGTGACTGCAGTGCGAGAGATCAAGCTGCTCAGCTCGCTCAGTCACAAGAATGTTGTCAAACTGCAGGAGGTCATGGTCGAGATGAACGAGTGCTTTATGGTCTTTGAGTACCTGTCACACGATTTGACAGGCCTCCTCAACCATCCTACTTATACTTTGGAACCGGCGCACAAGAAGCACTTGGCCCAACAACTCTTCGAAGGCCTCGACTATCTACACACGAGGGGCGTCCTACACCGGGATATCAAGGCTGCCAACATCTTGGTTAGCAATGAGGGCGTCCTCAAGCTGGCTGACTTTGGATTGGCCCGCTTCTACGCGAAACATCGTCGGCTGGACTACACTAACCGCGTCATCACCATCTGGTATCGCTCGCCTGAGCTGCTACTCGGCGAGACGCAATACGGGCCAGCTGTCGACATATGGAGTGCCGCCTGTGTCTTGATGGAGATATTCACCAAACGCGCCATCTTCCCCGGGGATGGGGGCGAGATTAGCCAACTGCAAAAGATTCACGCCGTGCTCGGAACACCTAACCGGAAGGACTGGCCTGGTCTTGTCGACATGCCTTGGTTCGTGCTGCTACGTCCCAAGTACCGGAAACCCAGTACCTTTGAGGAGAAGTACAAAGAGCTTTTGACGCCTGCCGCTTTTGACTTGCTCACCTCCATGTTCCATTACGATCCTGACAAGCGCCCGACCGCAGCCGAGGTTCTGCAGCACCCGTACTTTACCACGGAGGAGCCGGCTCCGCGTCAAGCTATTGAGTAAGTTCATAGACTTTTTTCAACACACATTCATTTTTGATTGCTGACCAGTCCGGTTACAGGCTCAAGGACATTGATGGCGAGTGGCACGAACTCGAATCGAAAGCCCTCCGTCGGGAAAAGGAGAAGAAGGAAAAGGAGCGTGCTCGCGCCGCCCAGTCTCAATCAGTCTCAAACGAGGAAGTGCCGGAGCACAGTGGCAACCGTGATAGAGACCGAAAACGACCAAATGACGGCGGCGATGCTCCACGAGAGGCCAAGCGGCCGCATATTGATAGCAATGGCAGGTTCGAGAAGGCAGGCCAAGCTTGTCGGGACCTTGACTCGGTCTCTGGGAGGATGGTGCCAGTTTCACCCGGGCAGTCGTCAAAGAACTTTGAGGAGAGTGACGGAAGAAATCCCAATCCAGGGCCTCCCGAGTTGAAGGGTGCAGGAAATGGGTAGGGAAGGTGGTGGGGAATAAGGGTATCTCCAACAATCATGGACTAGCCAGCTGCGACAAGAAGCAGACAATGTGCAAAGCGGTTATGTACGATTCCCGCCACAACTGTACCGCGGATGATGGTCCACATCCGTTCGGGTATTGTATTGTACCTATTGGCATGTACGATGACAGCGGGCCCTCCAAAGGGGAGGGTTAGTACTAGCATAGCACGGTTCCGATTGACACTCTAGGTCGCTCTCTTTGTGGCTAGGAAAGATGAGACAGCAATGCCGTGACGCAGCAATGTTGAAATAATGAGACTTGAAATGTGCAGAACCTGGTCTCTGTGTCGAACCACGGTGGCGGTGGTATGTGAAGGAGTCTCAGGAGTAGAAGTAGGTATGGCCCAAGGTATATATCACCTACCGGTTATCATGTTCTTTGATATCCATACTATCACGCACCCCGTTACCTACCTTACTACACAACTCTTGTCAGATGCAACTCAAACCTATTCAACATTGGATACCTACCTATAGCCAAGCTGCCGCTATCTATCCCCACCAGTTGATCCACGCCCGGTATATACCAGCACCTATATGTATACTTCACCAAACCTATCCGTGGATGACGATGCGGCTTTGGTCCGTCCGAAACAACCGGCCTAGCATTGCCTGTATGTAAGCTTTTCATCTTTCCCAGAAAAGCATAGTAAGACACCCCCTCAAGCAATGGGAGCCAGGTACCTGCCCGGCAGTCTGTCCCATTCATTTCATTTCATTCCATCCCCATATCATGTCATGTCATGTCATCACACCTCATGTAATTCCATTCACACCCCCCTTCCCGTCACCATTCCCATCCGTTTTAGTCCAACACAGTCCCAGACCCGACTCCTCCACCCGACCGGGCATGCATCCGATCAAACCCCCCCTCTACCACGCACCCCTTTTTGCTTTTCTTTTGGCTGTTCACATCAGAAAGGTAACTCGTAGCGTGCAATCTGCCAACCCGCCCATCCCTATCCAAGTAGTATCACCATCACAAATCTACATCCAACCAGTCTAGTGTAAAGCCTAAACCAATGTAGGACGTTCATAAATAATACCAGGAAACAAAACCTTGGTTCTACCCCTGGCCATCCCCAACCGAAAGGCCACCCTGCTGCATCTCCTGATGCCGAAGCAGCTGTCTCAAGCTGCCCTCGGCGCCTTCGAGCGCCTGCGGTGTCTGGCCCGCCCCGCGCCAGGGCATCCAGGCGGTCCAAGACGACGAGGACGACGAGCCAGGCAGATTGCGGTGGTGTTGTTGGTGGCGCAGGCTGGGGGTAGTGAGGTGCGGCGCGTGTCGTCCGTGACATGCTGCTGCTGCTGCTCGGGGTGGGGAGGAGGAACCTGACGGGTCATTGTTGCTGCCTCGGACGGAATCGGCATTGGGTTCTCCGCCATCCTCCGGAGAGGCGACGGCCGGGGCGGTCCTCACGCCAAAGGAGCTGTTCGAGGTCTGGGGCATGGCGGGTTCGCTGAGCAGGGCCGAAGGTGGATTCTTCGTGTGGGATTGGGAGGTGCTGGATGAGCCGTTGCGGCCGCTGTCCATGATGGCTGAGGCGAACGAGGCCGACTTCTTTCGAGCTAGCCTGTTCTTGTTGTTGTTGCTGCTGCTAGACGCGGCGGCTGTGGTGGTAGATGATGCTGGCTCTCGCATGTCGGCGTCTTGGCTGCCACTGCCGTTTCCGGTCGAGACGGCTGCCGATACCGAGCCTGGTCCAGATCCCGATCCCGATCCCGACCCCGCCGGTTGCTGATCCCATGCCTTCCGCGCCGCCCTTCCCCGGACTTCGCCGGCCAGCTCGGCGGCTGACTTTTTCTTGGACTTGTCCTCTTCGGAGGACCGGCTCGAGGACATGATGGTCTCCAATGTACCGTAGGCGACGCTTCTTCGGCGGGCCCCATTCCGTCTTCTGGGGTGAGACCGGGTTGAATTCTCATCATCGGACCTTATGGCCTGCAGCGTCGGCCCCTGGCTCTGAACATGGCTGCGGCCCTTTTTCCCGCGGTGTATTGGGACGGTTGATGATGCTACGCCTGACACGAACGACGCGCCAGAGCCATGCGGCGCCACGTGGACTTCGTACTGGTTACTCAGGGAGTATCTCGAGCGAGCACAAATCTCGGCGATGCGATCGAGATCCGCTCCAATGTCATTGTCGCCTCCTCGAGCCTGCATATCAGCCATGAAGCTCTTAAACGTGAACGCCTCTACCGGAGGTAGCTTAGCCTCGTCTGAATCCGGGCGCGAAGATGCCGATTGCCAGGGCCATGGCAGGGGCAGGGGTAGGGGCAGAGGCAGCTTGCTGCTGGTACCGCTGCTGCTGCCCTTTTTGGACTTGAGGGAGCGTGGCATGCTCACTCTGTAGGCATTGATGCCATTGTCCTCGTTGGTGTTTTGGTTAGTATTACTGCTGGTGCTGACGCCAATGTCGCTGAGGGCGGGCTGGATGGGCTGTCTCGAGAAACCAACGGCCCCGGTCGTCGAAGATGGGGGAAGGGGAACACGCCTGGAAGAGCCCCGCGGTCTGCTCGACTGCCGAGTGGTGCGGGATCCCTGGGAAGGCGAAGGGCCACTGTAAGTGCGCACAAGCACGGGCTGCGAGTAGGTGCTGCTCTGGGCGCCAGTGCTCTCGGCGTACTGGTGTCGGCGGACTACCGAGGGGTACGTGCTGTTCAGCTTCTGCAATGCAGACGTGCGATGGGCGGCCGTGGCATCGGCGAGCGGGACGGGCTTGCCCTCAGCAGTTGACGGGGCAACAGAAGCGGAGGGGGCGTTGCTGCGCTGGAAGAAGACAGACGGGAAGGAAATGGGGAGAAACGTCCGCCTTGTTTTGGTAGAGCTGTCGGGGGGCGGCCCCGTCGTGGGAGACGGAGGTTTGGAAGAAGAAGAGAAGGAACGGGGGCCTGAAGATGGTGGGCAATCCGCTTCTCCTGGAGTATGAGAGGTAGAGGCCTGCTCTGTGCTGGCAGTGCCGGTAGAATCTGCTTTCGCATCTCCGGAACCCATGGGGCGAGGGGCGTGTGGCTTCTTGTACAAATACATGCAGTTCAGCGAGCTCGATGCAAGCTTAGACGAGCAGCACGGGTCGGGGTCGCACCATGCACGCGGGCAGTCGTGGCAGGCAGGCAAGAGCAGCAGCAGCAGCAGCAGCAACAGCAACAGAGCGACAGGAACAAGCAGCCAGGTAGCGGTTCGGGCAACGGCGACGATACGCAGGAACTCGGATAGACAGGGTGTAAGCGTTTGTAAGCGTCAACGGGTCAATGGGCGATGGCGACGTGGTCGCGGATTCGGACGTCGGCACGAGAACGACAAGCCATGGACGAACATGACAGTTCCCCCACTGCCTGTCTTGAGCTGTGTGAGAGATTGCAAGTCGACGTGGGCGTCTGCTTATGGGTTTTCTTTTCCCGCCGTTGCGTTCTTTGCCTCGTGTCTGCCTTCTCCCTGCGTTTCCTGCGTTTCCTGCGTCTCTCCTACGTTTGCGTTGGATCTTCCCCTCGATTGCTCGACTTGATTGATTTGGTCGATCGGGTCTGGCCAGTACGGTGCAGATATGGAAATCAGTAGTCGCCCAATCTCTGCTCTGTTTTTGCGGTTTTCTTTCAGGTTGGCTCAAGACCACCAAAGCTCACTGGCTGAGAAGATCTGCCGCCATTGGACGGCAGCAGCTTGCGTTCTGCAGGCAGTCGTGGCTGCTGTTCAAAGGCTGTCTGTCCAGACGTCTTGCAGGCCTGGTGCATCAAGGCGGGGTTACCTCCATATCGAGCCTATGGATAGCTTCTGTGACCTAGCCCCACATCATCCACTGCAAGCGTTTCCATTTCCACATAAGGTAAGGTACCTACATCCATTCATCAGGTATAAGGGGCGTTCGGCCAGAAACGGTAGCCATCCAAATACTCATGTATCGCTAGGCACTTCTGTGTTGTCCATACGTCCGTACATTATCCTTAAATTCTCTTTTCTCTTTATTAATGTCCCGTTGATTCCCGCCATCATCGTACAGTTTCAGATCCATAAGTCCTCGAGTTCATCATCGACAAAGACGTCTGTCCAAATGCTGTGATGGAACGGACATTTTACTTGACCAAAAATCACCCATGGGAAAGCAGAAAAACGTGTCACGTCCTCAGTCTTTCTGACTTAGACTACACTCTATAGAGCCGTATACTGGCCTGTAGGCCTGATGACGGTGCCATAACCCCCCATTCCCCCGGTCTGGACTTTCTCACTGTAGACAAAGGGTGCTCGCTCGATTGGGCGGTTGCCGATCTTGTACTTTTCTCGCCGGTCGAAGTATACCCAGAGGAGGTAGAGAGCATGGATTACGCCAGGGAACCAGCTGGGGGTTTGGTCAGCGAGTCAATCACTCCCGTATAACATTGCCGGACGAGCGAAGGGTAGAACCTACAGCCAGATGGTGAGGAAGAGGTTGATCAGTAAGTCCGCACCACAGCCGGCCATGAGACCGACGCCCAGAGGGGGGACTGTTGGCCGATATCATGTTAGCGAGATTTGAACCCAGCTTCGATCTGGTGATGCTTCGTTTGCCACCTACAGATGATGCAGAGGAGCAGCACCAAAACGCCTGCAACGCCATCCATCTTGCGGTTTGGCGCTGTTGGTCTCTCTCGAAATGTGGAAGTGGACCTAGTGTTGAGATTGCTATGATTGAAGTCACTGTGTCATTGATGGGCTGAGGATAAAGCGTTCACAGATTATCTTGCATCCGCACTCCCTTTCTGCACGACATTTTGGGAAGATCGGATGTGGTCAACTCTTCTACAGTACCTGCTCTACCAAGGGCTATGACGTCGGTTTGCACGGGCCACCGAGACGTTGTGCGTTGCCAGCAGTGCGCTGTCACTGGCCAGTGGTCACTCCATGGCCATGCCACTACTGTCGCTGGGAAAACGCGGGACGACGGCGAGACAAGAGAGCACTCTTCGGCTTTCCCGCATGTGTAATCATCTTTTGCTGTAGGAGATTTTTCAGTGCTGTTTTGGCAAAGAGAATTACTCCGCAGGCAAGTGATTGTATGCTACCGAGTATTTAGGCACGGGTCTCTGGCGCCGTTGCAGTCGTCGTCGCGGTTAATAACGTCGTAGTCGCCATCTCAGTCGCTGTCCAGTCGTCTTTCGCAGTCGTCGTCAACTAGCATAGGTATGGGCGCTCTAGTAACGGGCGAGTTGGTAAGGCCAATTGCCATACTATAAGGAGGTCGTCGTAGACAACCTGAGATTTCTGGGTCTGATTGAGGCTTTGAAGTCAGCTTGATTGATTGTGGAGATTTGTCTCTGCATAACCCTAACCCAGCCCCTTGGTGGGTTTACTGGGTTAGTTCTCTAGCCAATGAGGTTGGGGCATGCTGGATCGCTTAACCACGAATGATGGTCAACGTTCGCCGGGGTCCAAAAGCGCACCTGCCAAGCTAACTTGCTGCATTGCACGAACAGGCGCGGCGGGCGGCGCTAACCCGAGAGGATTGATATCTGGACAAGACATAAATATATACATAACGTTATACATAAAGGCAGGAAAGTGACAACCGGCAACGATGGGACAGATCCAGTGATTTCACGGGGCTGCAGGCTGATGTTGAGATTTTTTGTGACACTATTCCAATGGGTAGATGAAATCTGGCCGTCTCGTCTCTATTGCTGGGATGGACGAAATACCAAATTGCCAGCCTGGGACCAACTATCGGCGTTCATCTCCTTCCAACCTGACCTGATTTTTTTTCCGCATCGCTTTGACAACTAACTACTGTAACTGAACCCCTTACCGTGTCGCCGGTCTCCTCCTCACCTACCTATCCTTTCCCCCCTTTCCGCCTTTCCGCTTGTCCTCGCTCCCTTTCTCCCCCCACCTCCTCTCCCAAAGTCCGTGGGAGGGTTGCGAGAGACAATCAAAATCCTCAGGAAGGAGACGCGCGCATCGTCAGCCGTGTGTCTGCTTCACCAACGAGGATTGTTGCATCGTTGAATCTCAAGCCACGGAGTACGTACTGTTAGCTGCCAGAGGCAGCCTGACAGCCCAGGTTACAGGAGGTTACGAAGCTAGCACTCGGACCGTGCTCAGCTCCGCAATTGCCTTCGCCTGTCTGGTTAGCAGTACGGAGTAACCTGGAACGAGCCACTGCTAGATTGTGAGTGGACTCGGTAAAGTTCGTGGACCTTACCCAGCACGTTTGCTGCTCTGCTACGACATTTTCCCGAAAACCCGCCCTCTGCTGCGTCCATTCCTTTGGACGACAACCAAAAGGTTTGCGCTGTCCCCGAACTCGGCCACTGCAGCCGATGGCGCCATTGGACTGACATTGAGCTCTGTTTTGCCAGGCAGCATCCTCGAATAGGGCCGTCGTACGCATTTTTGATCGTTCACGAGTTTCGGCCCGTCCCGAGCTCGAAAGCTGCCCGACCGCAGCCATGGCTTCTCAACAGAGCCCCCCCTTCAAGGTCGACCGATATGTTGTCATCCACGTCGCAACTACTTGCGACGAGCATGGCGTCTACGTGACCAAAGACTCGGCCGAGGTGATCGAGCTTGGTTGGATACTCCTTGACGCGAACAGTCTGGAAGAGGTGGGCCGCACCAACCCCTGAATCTGAAAACTCTATGCTCCGTCCAGTTTCTCACCGGCCTCCCGTCTGTAGCTTCATCGCGAAAGCGTGCTCGTCAAGCCAGTCAACACCCCGATCACTCCTCTCTGCAGTGAGTAACCCTGGCCCCTACCCTTACCGTCTTCCTAAAGATCCTCTTCATCCACGGCCGATTTGCCCCGATTCCATATTCGGCGTTGTTGCTGACCAATTGGTCCCAGCGAGTTTGACCACGTTGACCTGGGAGCACGTTCGGAATGCCGGCACTTTCAGAGACGCCATCAATCGCTTCGATGCTTTTGCCTCTGAACATTTGACGTCGCAGAACCTCGACTTCGTCTTCGTCACGCTCGAGGCCTGGGATCTGCGCGTCCAGCTTCCGCGAGAGGCCCGCGATAAGTCGGTTGTGCTTCCCCCTTATCTCCAGCACTCACGCACTTTTGAGCTCCGCACGGAATACCAGAGATGGCAGCAGCATCACCCCGAGTCGCTGCCCTTCGGGCCCTCGTCGCTGGCGAATATCTGTGCCGCGTTGGAGGTGGAGGCTGTTCAGTCCAGTGCTCCCATCAAGCATAACCTTCCCTTCCACCTCCAGGCTCTGGCCCCGGCATCGCCTCGTCGTGCCATGGAGGAAGCCGTGACGCTGGCCCGCGTCCTCCGCGGCCTGATACGGAAGTCGCAACCGCCTCATGAACACCCTGACGTGCTCACTCGCCCGATGGATGCCCGTGCTGATGTTCGCGCTTTCTTGTCAGAGCGCAGCAAGGTGCTTCACATGTCTGGTCTGCCTCACGACACTACTCAGTCGGAACTCGAGAGTTGGTTCACGCAGTTTGGCGGCCGCCCAATTGCATTCTGGACTCTACGCACCCCTGAACAGCACAAGCCTACCGGTACTGGCTTCGCAGTGTTCTCTTCCCACGAAGAGGTAGGTCGTCGTCTGCTTGCCTGCCCGCTTAGGGCCCCGCCAGCCGCATATCACACAACATCCATACCCAGTGCAATATCCCGCACACGCACTAACTTCACCTCCTCCCAGGCTGCCGAAAGTCTGTGCATGAATGGGCGCGCTCTGAATGAGAAGGCCATTGAAGTGTCTCCATCTTCAAGCCGTGTTCTAGATCGCGCCGCCGAGATTCTTACGCCCTTCCCGCCCAGTAAGAACAGGCCTCGGCCCGGTGACTGGACCTGCCCGTCTTGCGGGTTCTCCAACTTCCAACGCCGCACCGCTTGCTTCCGATGCTCGTTCCCTGCTGTAGGCACCGGTCCCACAGGCGAAATGGGCTATGGCTACGGTTACGCACCGCCCATGATGCCGCCGCCTCCTCACATGGGCCATCACGGTCATGGCGGTGGCCACGGCCGTATGGGCGGCTCCGGCGTTGTTCCGTTCCGCGCTGGCGATTGGAAATGTGGCAACGAAGTTTGCGGTTACCACAACTTTGCAAAGAACGTCTGCTGCCTCCGCTGCGGCGCCAGTCGCGCGGGGGCCGCCGTGGTCGCCGATTCCGGCTATCCCTCTCCCATGGACCCCCCTTCGACGTACGGCATGGGCCAGGGTTCCATGGGCGGCACTCCCGGCCCTGGCCCGTTCGCCTCGGCTGCCGGTGGCTTTGGCTCCGGGGCTGGATACGGTCAGCACTTTGGAGGCCCCCCCAGCACCTATGCTCTCCCATCCGGTCTGGGCGGTGGTGCAGCGCCCTACCCTCCGCTGAACACACACTTTGGACCTGCTCCGGGTTCTCACTCGGCCGGCCCGTTTGATAGCCGCGCAGCCGAGGCCGCTTTCCAGTCAGCAGGCAACGGCCCGGCATCCGCCGGTCCGGGCAACAACTTCTACTCCCAGACCGAGAACGACCCATTTGCATTTCTCTCCTCGGGTATCGGCAGCCTGTCCGTCAGCAACCAGGATGCCCGCCAGAACGGCGGTGCTGCTCCACCGAGCAAGTCGCCCGCATAGCCCGTTGCCCTTGGCGTCCTCAATCTCCAGGTGACCAGAAAAGCCAGCTGCTCGGACGCTGCCGAGCCTTCATCTATTCTTTCGCGCGTGCGACTTTCTTCTTCACACAAAGTTTGGGAAAACGAGGGATAGAAATCATTTGGGCCTTGGCAATAACTCCTGGGACTTTCGGATCTGTTTCTTCGAGGTGCGGGTAATGGCTTTGGGAGGAAATACCGCGGCCGGTCACACTACTACTACTACTGGTTTGGCAGGGGCGGCTAGCCGGCGGAAGACTACGGATGGCGGGTTAAAAAGTTACAGGGCTGGAAAGACAAAAAGAAAAGATGCCATTCATACAGGGTCCCTCAGGGCGGAGTTTTCTCTCGGAACCGACAACATGTTATACTGGCCCTGTTCTTTGGCACAGGAGCGGAAAGGTGGCTGGAATGTCTACATGCTCGGATCGCCTTGGGGCACAGGGTTGTTTCCGCATCTCGTCGACTTCGGACCTTGCAATTGGGCAGAATCGGTTGAGTCAGTGCATGGGATGGTCAGGTTCGGAATAGGGCCGGGTTAGGAATGGGGAGGGGAAGGCGTGCATAGCGAGGGAGTGTAAAGGGGTATATTCGGCCTCGCTGCTAGTGACGTGGCTTGGCCTTTGACGCTGCCCGTTCAGTGTGTTAATCTTGTCCCCTTCTCTCGGCTGTTTATGTTCTTGTTTCTTTCCATCAGCTCTGTTACCAGTTTTGCTCCAGATTGCGTTCCTTCCCTCGTCCTCTCTATTTCTCGCGCACACTCACTCTCTCTTCCTGTTCCCGAGGAAAAAGTTGCTTGGAAGGGCGGCGGGAGTCAAGCGGTACATCAGGGGGCGAAGGGGTGTTGGTTTCGGTTTGGAAGGGAGGGGGATTGATATTTTTTTCATCACTTGTCGTTGAACTCGCTTGATTTTTCTTGTTTCTTTCGTTTTTGTTTTGCTTTCCAACTGACACATACAACTCACATATACACCTACTCACAGGGTGGTACAAACTCAAAAACAGCATTCGATTCGGGGGATGCATTTGTCCCTTAGTTGCGTTTCCTCTCGACACCGCATAGGAAGGGGTGCTAGCGGTGGGGTGGCAGCAGCGTCCATGGCAATGGTGGTGACGGCAGTTTGATGAGTAGCGGCGCGTTGCGCGACTCGAGGATTGGCCTTTTCCTTTAATGGGTCCCCGACGGACGGGCTCTAACAGGGTAGGGTTACGGATGTGTTGATAATACTTTATAGCAGCGTCTATGCCGGCAGTCCCTGGCCGCTTGCATCAAGTTGGAGCCTCAGGACAAATCGACAACAGTTCATCACTCGGTGAGCTATTTGCTCTTGGATGGTGTCGAGTGTAATGACCCCGAATACCAGTTGCGCAGTTGACAACGGAGGGGAGGCTGAAATAGGCCTGAGTAAACTAAATCGTGTTCATGACTAACTGCAGGCCTGCTCAAGGAGTTCAAGCGGCGGTGACTCAAGAAAGCTACCTAGGGACGGCTGGCGGCATCGCGCGGACTATTGACTCCTTCCGATCCAGAACCCTGACCGCTTCCAAATGGCTGGGCTAGTAAAGGAAATCCTGAGTCCTGACTGCCAAGCCGCCACGTAGATGGCCCCATGTAGTGTGAGTTCCACCTGCTCCCGAATGCCTGTGCTGGAGAAAGATGAATCCACTAGTACAGTACAAGGAGATATTTCGACAGAGGTGCAGCAGAGCAGTAATGACCTCCGATGGCAAATGCTGCACCTTTACCCATTCCCTGGGAGAAAGAGCATGGGATATGACTGACGCCTTGATACAGGCATGTCACTTCAGGAGGAATCAACCTCCCCTCTTTCCCTTCTCCCTTCTTCCCTTCCTCCCTTTCTTTTTCATCACCTCTCCATACCCATAGAACTCCCCTCGCCGGCTGTCTGTCGCTGTCCGCTGCGCGCGCGGTGCGGTGCCGAGCCTTTTGTTTACCAAGGGCGGAACCAGTCGCGGGCCCTCCGCGTCTTGTGGTCCTCGTACAGATCCTCGTTCACCGTGTACGACACCGACTCGTCCTCTTGTCCAGTGACGCGCACCAGCCCGCCGTTGTCCCAGTCCTCCTCTTCATCTGAATCATTCAGCTCGATCGCTTCCTCCTCCTCTGACTCATCCACGTCCTCTTCTTCCTCGTCGTCCGCCTCTTCTCCTTCTGCGTCGTCATCGTCGTCTTCTGCATCGTCGTCAAATTGTTGTTGTCCCCCGCCAGCCGCGGGTGGATTCCATCCGGCGGCAGCGAAAAAATTGGGATGAACATTGACAGGAATGGGGCCCATGACGGGTGTGGGGGCAACAGGGTGACCATTCCCATTACCAGCGGGGGCAAAATCAGCGGGGGCAAAACCAGGAGGGGGAGGTTGAAAAGCAGGAGGCCCAGCGGGGGCAAAACCAGCAGGGGCAAAACCAGCAGGGGCAAAACCAGCAGGGGGAGGGTGACCAGGAGGGGGAGGTTGGAAACTAGCAGGAGGAGGAGCATTAATAGGGTTAAAGGCAGGTTGATTAAAGCCAGGTGGAGGTGCAGGGAAAGCACCATTGTTGAAGCCCTGAGCAGCATGGTTAACGGCAGGTGCAGGTGCAGGCGCAGGTGCAGCAGCAGCAGCAGCAGGCCCGTTTCCTCCGCCCAGCTGGTTCTCATCCAGGACCTGGAACGTGTAGGCGGTGGGATTGCGAAGGAATTCGTCCCAGTCAATGTCACGGGCATGAGCACGACGCGAGACGTGGGACTCGTCGACTTCGAAAGCGGGATGATCCTCGCGCAGCGCGTCGGGGTTACCGTCTGACGAGGATGAGTAGTCCTCGTCGGCTTGCGCAATGAGACGCTCGTCGAGTGTCATGTTGCGCAGCTGCTCCCGGGTCAGCCGGCCTGATGTTGGAGGGTTCCCCGTGGTGGTGTTGTTGGTATTGTTGGCGCGGGGTGGGGGTGGCGTGTGGGTGAGGGCTATCTCTGGGGGGAGATGGACCACGAAGGGTTCTCCTGGGGTGTTGCTGCTGGAGTCAAAGTGGAATACCTGTGGGCGTGCCTCCAGCTGTCGTGGTGGTGAAGGCCGCCACTGCGCTTCCTCCTCCTCAAATTTGAATTGGGATTCGTCGATCTCTGAAAGCAGCGAATTTTCAGAGTTTGCGTCCTCTTCCGAGGAGGTGTCTTCTTCATCCTGTGGGCGCTCTGCCTCGCGACGGCCAACGGTCCTGAACAGGCGCTCCAAGTCCCTGGCTGGGATGGGGACCAGGTCGAGGCCGGTGTCAGAAAGGCCGGCAAGAGAGTTGGACGAGGTGGACTGGCTGTCTTCGTCCTGCTCCGATCGATTCTGCTGCTCAGCCTGGCCAGAGCCCGTGGGAGCATGGTCGACCATCATCTGCGCCATGCGTTGGGGCAGGTTGAACATGCCAGAGGGGGTGGCCGAATCGACGTCCATCGCCTCAGACATCTCTGCCTCAAGGGCATCAAGCTGTTCCTTCAGGTCCTCGGGGTTCGGCGGAGCAAGGAAGTATGGTTCCTTGTATCCTTTAGCCATTTCCGCCAGCGCAGTTGCTTCGGCGTCCAAACTGTCCCATTCCTGGTTGAGCTGGTCCACCTCTTTCATCTCCAACTCTTCCTCCTTCACGATCATGGCCTTCTCTTCGCCGGTGAGAGTCTTCCAGCGGGCCTTGCGGGCATGCTTGGGTTTCCACATGGTCTTCTCAAAGGGCACGTTGCCGCAGCCGCCGTTGATGGGCTCGAACCGCAAGGGCGTCCAGTCTCGGAGGTGACGCGGCAGTTCCTCGTCGTCGCTCATGTACATCTCTTCAACGCTTGGCACCAGGCTGTTGCCCGTGCTCAGGTCGACGTGGCCATAAATGATCATCTCATGGATGCACGAGTCGAGGTGGAGCTGGCGCCGGGCTGCCTCGGCGGGAACCAGCTCGTCCGGTCTCAGCAAGTGGGCACCGCCTCTGCCCCATCCCTCGAGGTGGCCGGTCCCGAGCTCGTGCGGCTGCAGACCATGAAGCTGCAGGTTCTGGCGCTCCATGACATCCTCTGGGCCGACATCGTAACGGAGCTTGAGTTTCTCGATCTCTCCCTCGGACCGGTACTTCTTGCCGCGCAGCAGAGCCCACAAGGGAGACAGGCTGCGCTGGCCCAGCATGAGCCGCATCAGACAGGTGGATTGGGGGCCGAAAATGGGGTCGTTGAAGGCGAGCACCAGCTTCACCATGAAGAGCTGGGCGATGTAGAGGTCCTCGTCGGTAAAGAAGTCCGGGTTGTTGATCAGTCGCATGCGCGCAGACGAGGTGGCCGCGTCCATGATCACCCAGAGTTTCTTGAGGGTCAAGTGAGCGCCCTCGGGCGTGCGGTGGCCCATCCTGGCCAGGGTTGCGAGGATGTCGCGCACCCGGATCTCGCGCGCGACGACCATCTGCAGCCACTTGAGGCCCGGGACTATGCGCACATTGCTAGGCACGAGGCTGACCAGGGGGATAGGTGGCCCGCGTGCCTGGCCGGGGCGGGGCACGTACAGTAGCCAGTCCTCCTGGGTGGGAGGGCGGCCGGTGGGGTCCTCAACGAACCAGGAGTAGTAGATGGGGCAGCTGTAGATGCGGGTTGAGCTGGGCGCCATGAATTTCGCCCAGGCCAGGACACTGCTGCGCATGTCCTTGTTGACGGCAATGTGGAAGTCTTTTGAGATGCTGTACAGCCGGAGGATGTCGCGCGGCTTCACATGCTTGCACACCTCGACGATGAGCTCGTTGCAGCTGCTCAGCGAGCCGATCAGATCGAAGCGGCGCCGAGGGGGAGCGGGGGGCGGATGGGCGGCATCATACGCGGCGATGCCCCGTGCGATGAGACCAGCACGCTGCCGAGCAATGTTGCGGAACTCTTGCAGAAGCTTGGGGTCGGTGTTTTGCAGCTTTTTCTCTTTGAGAAGGGCTTGCCACTGTTTCTCGAACGCGTCCTCATCAAAGTTCTCGTCCGACTTGCGGGTCTGGTTATGATTATCTTGACGGTCATGATCCGGACCGTTACCGTGGGAGTCTTGATAGACTCGGCGGGCCGTGGAGTCGTCGATTCTGGCTCTTTTGGACGGGCGATTGGATATGTCCTCGTTCATGTGACAGACAATCCTCTCGGCGTCGGGGCGGATGCCGACTTCTTCGATCTCTTCTTCAGTGGCCCTTTCTCGAGCCTCTCTATCGCGAGCGACCCTCTCCCAGGCTTCACGACTCCAACTAGCCGGCCCGTCATTGTTTTCTTGCGGGGCAGCCATGATGGGCTTGTCGCCTGTGTTTCGAAACGCTCGCGACGCGTTCGAATGTTGTTCGAAAGCGCAAAAATGAAGGTCTGAAAGGAGGAGGCAGGTTTGATTGTTTATGGGGTACTTGAGCAGAAAGGGGATCGCTTGACTTTTGATTTTGCGAGAAAGAATTTGGATGACTTTCCTTGCGATGGATGGATCCCAGATTCGCAGTGGGCAAAAGGAAAGATGTATGTCCACGTTTGAGGAAGAGAAGAAAGGGTCAGGTTTGGAAATTGGAGGTTTGTTTGGATACTTATCGGGGTTCGTTGTGCTGCACCCACTGCTCTGCTTGCTATCTACTACTATTGTTGCTTGGGGAACAGGAGAACAATACTAAGGCAGCAACAATAGACTGAATAGGCAGGGTGAATAGACTGAATAAGAAGCCAACAGTGGCATCGGATTCTCTATCGACATCGGACGAAAGCCAGTTGGCTTGTTCTACCCCTCCCCTCCCCAACTCTTCCTGGCCTCAGCTGCCTTTTGCTGCTTTGCATCTGTAGGCATTGATGAGCCACATAGCATTATCGAGCGATGAGCACCCCTTCAGAGTCCAAGCCGTCTTCACATGTGAACTACATCATGGAACTTCACAAGGGAGTCAAATACTAGAACATCGGTAATCTCACAGAGCTGAAATGTATAGCGTTGTAGCTATCACTAGTAGTATCCCCTAATCTCGTTCCCACTGCCGGTCACTTAGATTCCAGGCATGTCCGGATTCCCGGTTTGAGTCCTGATCAAATCTGGATGGTCTCCCGCTTCCATCTCGCCTGGCCTGGCATTCTTGCCTGTGATCGATGGCATCAGCCATCGGTCCTAAGACCCTACCTATTGCCCCCTTCTACGCTCCGATTGAGGGCCATGGCAGACCATCATCCAAGAGATGCGCTCCTCGTCGTCTCTCTAGACCTTCCTCCCCTTCCTCCGCCATCTACCTCCATCATTCCGAGCTCCGGGGAACACGCTGTAGCCTTTGCCACTATCCGCACGCTTCTTCTTGGTGCCGGTTGCATTAGTCGAAGCCTGGCTTCCCGCTTCTAATTGGACGCGTCCAGCTCATTCATCGGCATCTCAATGTCGTCCTGGCTGACAATGGCGTCGGCAACCTTCCAGATCTGGAGCAGGTTGTCCTCGGCCGCGCTGCAAACGAGCCACGGGTCGTTGAGGTTCCAAGTAAAGTCGGCCAGATGGTTGGTGTGGCCGCCGTGCATGAAGAGCAGCTCCGGCGGACCGTCTTCCTGGTCCTCGGGCAGCTGTTCCTCGCCGGCCCGGCTGATGTCCCAGAAGATGATTCGTCTGTCGTAGCTCCCGCTGCCGAGTATGCTAGTCTCGGTCGGGTGCCACGACAGCGAAGTGACGGCGTCGTTGTGGCCCTCGAGCGTGTGGATTTTCTGCTTGAGATTCCGCAAATCCCAGATGCCGATCGTCTTGTCGGCCGATGCCGTGGCGATCAGAAACTCGGAGCGCGGGTTAAACGCCAGAGCATTGATTGCATCACTGTGCCCGTCGCGCGCCACCACAGCCGCCCTTGTCGTGTCCGGATTGCGCGTGTCAATGATCTGGAGTGTCAGATCGTCCGACACGGAACCAATCCAGTGCTTGACCATGGGGTGGTACTGGACGTCATTGACAATGTGCGTGTGGTGGGTGTATTTCCGCCACGGTTTCAGCGTCTTGGTGGATGTCACAGTCTTCAAGTCCCTGCAAACCAGTTAGGTGGTCGAGCCCCATGGTTATGTCACTTATATGGTTAAATACATACCAGAGCAGAACTGTCTTATCCTCACTACCGGATGCCAAGCAGCCCGCCTCATGGGGACTCCAATTCAAGCCGAAGCCCTCCTCCTTGTGACCAACCAGCTCAATCTGGGGATTGGGAGTGCCTGTGGGGGTCAGGCTGTGCTTTGTGCGGTCAAAGATCAACACCCTGCCGTCGATGGCGAGCGTGGCGATAATGTCGGGGTTCTGGGGCTGATATCGCGCCTTGTTTACCTCGCCAGGGTGGTCAATCTTTTGCGTAATGCTGAACTTGATGACAGGCGGCTCCCCAGACGACGCTTTGCTGCCATAGCCGCCAATCTCGCCCCGCTCCTCGTCGTAGTCATGAGGGTTCGGCTCTACAGACTTGGGAATTTCGACCTCGGCGATCTGGAGATAGTTTGGTTTCCCCTCTGCAGTATGAGTCCCGATGAGTAGTCTATGGACCGTGTAGTTCTTCTCCTTCACGTCTTTAACATCAGGAAACCACTGTGTCGTCAATGTCGGCCACTCCAATGCCGTACTTGGGGGAGTCAGCGGGAATGTGCTCAATGAACGTCAAAGCATAAGAATTATCTCACCTCAAGATCATGTCATAGAGGAATGGGCTGTTCTTTTTCCACGTCTTGTACTCTGGAAAGCAGTTAGCTCCCTCTTTGGCCGACTTTTATTCATAGAAAATGGCAACGTACCCTCATTGATGAGTCGCTGCTCCTGATCGGCATCATCTTCTTCGTCCATGTTGACTGCAGCAACGATTAGAGACAAGCCCTCTTTGCAAGGTTTGGAAAAGAAAGAATAGGTAGTTAGAGACTCACCGTCGACATCGTCGACAACATCTGCGGGCGGCATTGTGGCCGAGGAATTCCCTCAGAAAGGATATCAGGATGTGGTAATTGGATATTATTATCTCGCGATGGGGTTTGAAAACGTGAAGAAGTATTGTGCGAATCTGAAAATGTAGGTTTCACTGACACGTGCAGGCACAGCTCGAACAGTTTCACTGCGATGCGATCAATTTCCTGGCGCGTCGCGACTTTAATTGATGTTCGCGGTGCACTAGACGCTTCACCACAAACGGCTTAGCGCCTGCAGGGGGCTGCTGAGGAAGAGCCAACGGCGCCTTGCAGGGATCACTGGCGGGATTCACCGGGAATCTCCCACAGGGTCCAAGCACGTGGAGTCCAGGAGGGGCAAATCGGCCAGTCAGGCATCGACTCATCACCGGCCCCGTGCGGGTCGGCTGTCCGCCTTGCAGAGGTTCCTTTTTCGAGGCGAAACCTCAAACCACACAGCCTTAGACGGCCAACACCATCGACGTTTGCCATGTTCAGTCTGCGGCGACATCATCACTAGCATCTCCTTTATACCGCCGAGACTTGTCGATTTAGATCTTGTGAAGGTGCATTATTGTTATCTTTTTTGCGGGTCACACACGCAGTCGTTTTGACCTTTTTTCGCTTTGACTTCAGAGAAGCCCGGCCATTTTTTATTCAGCGCCGGCATCAACACTTCCTGCCCTTCCTCAGTTGCCGAGTGTTGCGCCTCTGCTTAGATGTGCGCGCGCTCTCCTTGATCCGACAAGTAAGACAACCGCATCAGTTCTGCATCCAAACCCTCGGCTTAGGCTGTCGCGCGATTCAAGCGCCTTAGCCGCTCAACATGGGGTGCGTATCCGATCTGACCCTCCGAGATCTTCTTGTGGGCGACTGACGAGACCGCGTAGTGTCCCCAAATTCTTCAGGTGGCTCTCTGAGCGCTATCCTGCCATCTCGCAGCTCATCGCCGAGAATCGCATTCCCGAGTTCGACTGCCTCTACGTGAGCCAAACCTCTTAGAGGCGCATCGTTTTCGCGTTCGCTGACCGATCTTGGTAGCTGGATATGAATGGCATTATCCACAACTGCACACACAAGGACTCGGACGATGTTCACTTTCGGCTCAGTGAGGAGGAGATGTTCATCGCCATTTTCAACTACATCGAGCATCTGTTTGGCAAAATCAAGCCAAAAAAGCTGTTCTTCATGGCAATCGATGGTGTCGCTCCCCGCGCCAAAATGAACCAGCAACGAGCTCGCCGTTTCCGGACCGCCCTGGACGCCGAACGCGCACGGGAGAAGGCCGTCCGCGAGGGCAAAGAGCTTCCAAAGGAGGACCCATTTGACAGCAACTGCATCACACCAGGTATGGCCTGCGCTAATGTTGCCTTGAGCTTTGCAAGCGGTTTGATGCTAATTTGTCCAAGGTACCGAGTTCATGGCCAAGCTGTCGCTACAGCTCAAGTACTTCATCAACAAGAAAGTGTCCGAGGATAGGGACTGGCAAAGACCAGAAATCGTCCTCTCCGGTCATGAAGTCCCGGGTGAAGGCGAGCACAAGATTATGGAATACATCCGAAACGCACGTGCCCAGCCCGATTACAGTTCCAACGTCCGGCATTGCTTGTACGGGCTTGATGCTGATCTCATCATGCTGGGCCTGCTGAGCCATGACCCCCATTTCTGCCTTCTCCGTGAGGAGGTAACCTTTGGCCGCCAGTCGAAGAATAAGTCGAAGGAGCTGGAGCATCAAAATTTCTACCTGATGCACTTATGCATCGTCAGAGAGTATCTGGAGCTGGAGTTCCAGGATCTCAAAGCCGAAGGCGCCATGTCTTTCCCATTTGACATGGAAAAGGTGATTGATGATTTCATTCTCATGGCCTTCTTTGTTGGCAACGATTTTCTGCCCAATCTGCCGCGGTTGCACATCAACGAAGGCGCTCTGGCGACCATGTTTAGGATATATAAGGGGGTCCTTCCGCGCTGCGACGGCTACATCAATGAAAATGGGAAAGTCAATTTACAGCGGCTTGGAATTCTCCTTGATGAGCTGGCGAAGGAGGAATATCGCTTCTTCGAGCACGAAAACGAAGACGCAAGCTGGTTGCGCGGCAAAAAGATGCTCGAAAACGACGAGGCCGAGAAGTTGAAGGCAAAGGCCAAGGGAAAACTCATCGTCAGCTCGGACCAGAAGGCTCTCTGGAAGCGGAAGATTCGAAAGTTTCTCACGAACCGCACCTCAGAGACTCTTGACCTAGGTGCCGATCTCAATGCCGCGGACCGGAAGTTCGTTCAAGACCTCGCCGAGGCTGCCCATCTCGATTGGGCCACAAAACCCGACGAGGACGGCTTTCGTCATCTCATTCTGTCTTATCCTGCTCGAGATGAGGAGGACGAGGAGGACGAGGAGGCCCAATCAGCCGTTCTGCGCATTGTCAAGAGATATGACAACGCGCAGGTACTCGACCTCACATCGGCTGATGCCCAGGCGGCAATGGATGCCAAATACAAGCAAAAGTTCGGAGAATGGAAAGACAAGTACTACTATGAAAAGTTCGAGGACTGGACTCCGGAGAACAAAGAGGACGAGTTGCGAAAGTTGACCGAGAACTACATTCAAGGCATACAATGGGTTCTGTTCTACTACTATCGCGGTATCGCTTCCTGGCCATGGTTCTATCGGTACCACTACGCCCCTCTCATCTCAGATGTCATAAAAGGCTTGAACGCAGACCTCAACTTCAAGCTGGGCCAGCCGTTCAAGCCGAACGAGCAGCTCATGGGCGTTCTACCGGATCGAAGCAAAAAAATCGTCCCGAAAGTGTACTGGGACCTCATGACCGACCCCAAATCGCCAATCATCGATTTCTATCCCAGGGATTTCGAGTTGGATATGAACGGCAAGAAAATGGACTGGGAGGCTGTCGTCAAAATCCCCTTCATTGATGAGAAACGGCTTCTTGAGGCAATGGCACCCAGGGATGAGCTTCTATCCCACGATGAAAAGGCGCGCAATGATTTCGGGGTTCCCCTCAAGTTTACCTACTCCGAGGATGTCGACTTTGTCTATCCCTCGTCCCTGGTAGATGTCTTCCCGCCGATTTCCCACTGCCACTGCGTCGAAAATATCTTTGACCTGCCTCCTATCGAGGGATTAGAATATCGGGCTGGCTTGACGGATGGCGCCCTGCTCAATATCTCGGCATTGGCGGGATTTCCCACTCTGGCTACCCTGCCGTACATCGCCAACCTTGGCTTTCACGGCGTCAATGTCTTCCAACAGGACAGCCGCAATGAAAGCATGATTGTTACTTTGTTGGGCACGGATATGCGCACCAAGGTTGATGCAGCCAAAGTCAAGCTTGGCCAGCGCTGCTTCGTCGGCTACCCATTCCTGCAGGAGGCCAAGATTGTCAAGGTGTCTGATGAGCTTTTTGACTACACGCTGGCTGAGGATGGCAGCGGACAGGTCGTCACCACGCATCATTCCAACCGCGATATCGAGGAGTGGAGCAAGAAAGCAGACAGAATTGAGAATTTCTACAGCAAGCGGCTGGGAATCCTGATCGGCCCTGTCGAGTCACTGGTCTCCGTTCATATGCTGAAGGGTCTGATCAAGACGGATGAGGGGGCAACGGTGAAGGAATATGGCGAGATTCCAGGCATGGAGACGGAGTACGCTTCCCAGATCATTGTCGACGAAGTTGTCAACGAGGATGAGCGCTTCATCGAGAAGGCTGCCTTGCCACTCGAAGAAGAGTTTCCCATCAAATCTGTCGGTTTCTTCTTGGGCGATTACAACTATGGCCAGCCGCTAGAAGTCGCGGGCTACACCAACGGCAAGCTCTCCATCTGGCTTGCAGTCTTGGACAAGAAGGAACCGGATTTCGCCAAGAAGATCATCCACGATGCTGAACGGGGCATGCACTACCTCCCGTCGTACATGGTGGCCAAGCAGCTGGAATTGCACCCCCTTACGTTGAGCAAGATCACTTCATCCTACTTTGTCCGCACCGTCGGTGATCTCCGGGTCAACCTGGGTCTCAATCTGAAATTCGAGGCTAAGAAGCAGAAGGTGCTGGGCTACTCGCGCAAGTCCCAGACCGGCTGGGAATTCAGCCCCGCCGCGCTGCGCCTGATCGTCGAGTACATGACGAAATTTCCCGACTTCTTTGCCGGAGTCAAGAAGAACCCTTCAGGCGCTGAACTGACGGAGACGGATCTCTGGTCTGATCCAGCGGTCGCGGCGGCCAGGGTCAAAGAAATAGGTGCCTGGCTCAAGACTTTGAAAACTAGCTCGATGGAGCGCGTGCCTCTGGATGCCGAGCAACTCGACTCTGAGGTAGTGATGCGGCTCGCAACCGAAGCAGACAATTTGAACCTCAGCCAGATCCGGACCAACTCGAAGAGAATGAACGGCGTCCCTCGTAACGCCTTGATGAGACCCGAAGACGCAGAGCACCGTCTCGGCAACCAGAATTTCGCATTGGGCGACCGCGTGGTGTATGTGGCATCCACTGGCAAGGTCCCCATCGCCTTCCGCGGAACTGTGGTGGGTATTAGCCGTACCCCGACAGCAAAACTGCTCGATGTCGTCTTTGACGTCACATTCCTGAGCGGTACTACTCTCGGCGACCGCTGCCCGCCCTTCCGCGGCCAGACGGTGCCGTCTACCACCCTGCTCAACCTGACCAACCGGCAAGTTGTCGCTGGCTCCAAGACGCAGCTAGCCCGTCAGCCCCTGAGCCCCTCAGTCACGACGCTCACTGTCCACGGCGGCTACCACATGAACGGCAGGCGCTATGTTGATGCCAATGCCCCGCCGCCCCTGCAGGGCTCCTGGCGCGGCGCGATAAACGGCGGCAATCGCGGAGGAGGCGGCCGCGGCGGCGGGCAACAGCCTCAGCGGGGTAATCTGCCTTACCGCCCCGCCCCTCATCACCAACAGTCGGATGGCAGCCATGGCCAGGAGTATGGGAACGGCAGCCGTGGCCGCGGAGGGGGAAACATATATCGGGGACGTGGCCACCCGCGCGGTAGCGGTTATGTTACGCCGACCCTCGGCAGAGGCGGCCGCGGCGGATACAATCCTGCCGCAGCATCCGGCGGGGCCATGGGCATCCCTCACCCAGCCTCGGCCCCGCCGGCTCCGTACGCGGCCGTGCCCCCGCCGTCAAGCCTTGACGCGCACCGGGGTGGCGGGCGCGGCGGGCGCGGCAGGGGCCGAGGTCGTGGTGATGGCCAGGCCATGGGTGGTAGAGGACGTGGAGGGAGGGGTGGCCCGCCCCAGGCGCAGGTGTCGACGCCCCAGAACTAGTGGTATTACTAGGGCGTCACCCTTTGTAGGGGTAGGGGAGATGGCGGCGATCTATTTTCTTCATGACATGAGCTGTATACGGCCGGGATACGACCAGGACTCTGGGTGGATACCTCTTGAAAGCTGGATGATGATGATGATCGATTGCCATGGCTGGCTTCTACTATACGGTATGGCGAGTTGGTAGGTTGGGTCACGCATCTTCCGGGTATTTTTTTTTTTTTTCTTTTTTGACTTTGCATGCATGATCATGCGGGGTCTAACTAGAGTAGAATGACACTGCGGGCGAAGAGGGGATTGTTGCTGTCCAGACAGCCGCGGGCTCACGGTTTACGCGTCCAGGAAAATGGGGAGAAGGAACTCATGTATAGATGGATTCCTTGCATGTATTGTCCATACCTTGCATTCGGATAAAGCGAGGCGGGGCGCGAGCATACGGCGGTATATAGGGCAATGGCATCAACCTCGGGCATTCTTGCGAATCAACATGTACAGCCCATTGTATGGAGGTGACCTTGCGAGTGAATGAGGCTTGTGTTCGTTCAACAAAATGGAGGCTGTGTTCATCTAAGTTACCTGCAGCTAAACACGTGACCCCTCCTTCTTCCCTTCGTCCTTCTTCTTGAGCGCCGGCAAACTAAACTTTTTGCTCAGCGACCCCCTAAGCGGCTTCCATTTCCAGAACTCCTCGTCTTGGTTCCACGTCAAAACGCCCACCCACGGCTGAACGTTGTAGTGCAGCCTAAGCACCACGTCCTCCTGCTCTGCCACCTTGCCTGATGGGTGGGTGATCTGGTACTTGGGCCGCTGGTTCTTGAGGGAGAGTTTGCCACTGAAACAAAATTTGTCTGTTAGCATTCAATTATCAAGGGTAGAGGTAGAGAGAGTGGAGAGGGAACATGCCGGCTGGGATCGATGCTCTTGCCCTGCGCGCTCCGCTTCAGCTTTTTCATGGCCACGGGGCCGATGTTGGCCAGGTGGTCGGCGCTAGGCGCCGTGATGATGGTGTCCCAGATGACGGCCTGGTTCGTCGCGTTCCGCCCCGAGCCGGTGCCGCCCGCCGACGGCCATTCCGCGGTCACGTAGACAAAGAGCTGCTTGGTGTTCCAGGTGAAGAGGGATGAGAAATCGGCTTCGAGGGAGAATTTGATTATGGCGTATTCTTCCTTTTTGGAGGAGTAGTAGTGCGGACGACCACGGACGCTGCGAGATATGCGTTAGCTGGAGCAATGAATATGGTCCGGTGGTCGAGGCATGGGATTCGAAAGAGTGGGACGTACACTTGGAGATTGGTCGTTTTGAGAAGGCTTACGGTGGGAGTCCGAGGGGCGAGCAGGTCGGAGGCGGCAATGAAGGCGGCGACTACAAAGGCTACCGTGGTGAAGAAACTGAAGGTGTTTTGCAGGCGCACGAGGGAGGAGTACATGCTGGGCAATCGGCGGCTCGGGAGGTTAATTGGTTCGGACAGGCAGTGTGGATTGGTCTCCCGTGATGATGAGAGAGTCTGGCTGTTGTGCCGATGTGCCGTTATCACCTGGGTCCTGTCATTGGCTGTAGATCATGGACAGAAGAGCCCGGGGTGATTCTGGAGATAGCTGACAAGAATGGGATCTAAGATGCTGGCAGTCACGATGAGGCCAGATCGGTAGCTTAGCTCTAACGTTGGTTTATGCGCCAACCGGGGACCAAATCTTGCATTGAATAGCTAAAGGTTAGGGTGATTATCGGCAGATCTGCTGCCAAGAAGCTCTGATGTCAGCTGTCATGGCTGGGCCCCGGTAATTGCTTCCTTACATTGATACCCCAGTGGCCCAGCTTATCCACTGTCTCATCAGCGTGTTGACTTCAGCCACCATTGCACCTTATCACAGTAGCTAACCCATTGTCGCTTATCCCCTACAACGCATCGCCCCCCCACGATGCCCTTCTCCTGAGCTGCCAACATGGGTGCCAGCGACTCAAAGCTTGTGTTCAAGAAAGGTATCTTCAGGTTGTCAGAGGAGCGCCACATTCCTGCCGACGATGGCTTCTGGGCTTCTGTCAGTCTCGAGTCGTTAGCTCTTGGTGGCCGCGTTTACGTCACGCTAACAGCCCTCGCAGTTCTGGAGGTTGCCCGAGTCTGCCGAAGACGTCTTCAGCCTTTTCGCCCCCGCCGACGTCCGCCGTACCCGCGACAATGCGCTTGAGAACCTCGAGGCGCTAATACAGGCCGTCACGGCGCGTCTGTTCCTGCTCCGCCACCACCCATCGTTTCCCGACCCCGAGCTTGCCCCAGCCCAAGAAGCGCTGAATTGCGTCCGCGTTCTCACAAGGGTTCTTCCTTTTGTCTATGAAAAGGAGTCGCTCCAGGCATGGGAGGACAAGCTGTTCTGGGCTCCGCGGCGCAAAAAGACTAGGAAGTCGTCCATTGCCAACGAAGTGCTCTTCGACGGAGCGCAAGATGGCCAAACGCGGCCAGCGACGGATGAATTCGAGGATGCAAGGCCTCTAGGCGAGGAGCTCCTCGACACTCTGCTCGAGCTGCTCTTCTTCTCCGACCTCACAGTCCCAAAAGCGCCACGAGGCAAGCCGAAGGTCACGTATGCCATCTGGCAAAGCGGTGTCGGCTGTAATGCGTCCATCCCGACTACCAAGGAGCACGAGAGCAACCGTTGCGAGATCTTGCGTTTGCTCCTGACTTTCACGGGTCAGAGCATGTATCTGTCACCGAGCGTCTTGCCGCAACAAGGGACCAAGGCTCTCACCTACCTGTGTACCTGTTCTGACAAACAGGTGGTTCTATCCGTGCTATGCTCGCTCCTAAACACCGTAGGTGTATTCCTCACCATACTTTGGTATCTTAGCTTACTCTTGTTAGACACTGAAATACAACCCGGCCAGTTGGCGGGTTCCCTACAATGCCCTAGTCCTCAAGGACCCCAAGGAGATCCTCGTTGTCTACACCCTGCAATTCCTCCTAGCCATGTTGCTATATCCCATCCCTGAGCAGGCAGGCGTCGCAACACCCAAGAACTTTTACCGCCATTTCCTTGGCCGCCTCCACAGGCCCCAGGATTTCCAGTTCATCGTGGATGGGATGACGCGGATACTAAACCAGCCGTTGCAAGCCACCGCCTCCTACCTTCCCGGGGCCCAGGCGCCTGTGAGATTTGCCCCAGAGATAAAAATGCTGTTCTGGGAAATCACCCAGTGTAACAAGCGCTTCCGCTCCTTCATCGTGGACACGGAGCGAGCACATGACTTCATCATCTTGATTTTATTCTACGCCCTCGAATACAAGAATGACGCGTCAAAACAAGGGGTTGTTAGGATGTGTGCCTTCCTCCTGCAAACGCTCAGTATGGAGAAGAACTTTGGTGTGAATCTAAACAAGGCATTTGAGGCCCAAGACACGCTTCCTCCTGCCATCCGAATCTCAGGCTTTGTTGGCACCTACGGGGACTTTCTTATCCAGGTAAGTGGTCATGTTCGTCTCCTGCGACTCAAGTGCTGATAGCTCGTCTTAGTCCATCTACGGCCTCATTACGACAAGTCAAGGTAGACTCACCGCCATCTATCCTGCCCTCTTAGCGGTCATCAACAACGTTGCCGCTTACCTTGAAGGACTCAGCGCTCCTACATGCGCCAAGATCATGCAGCTCTTCAACTCCATGTCGTCCCCGTCGTTTCTCCTAGCCAATGAGACCAATCATAGCCTCTTGCGGTCATTACTCGAAGCCATCAATGCGATTATTGAGCATCAATACAGCAGTAAGTCCTTTGCTGGACACCAACTTGGAATTTGTAGCACTGACGCACAGCAGAGAATCCGTTGTTTATTTTAGCGGTACTGCGCAACAGGAAGAAATTCGAGGCCTTACGTTCCTTGACGTTGGAAAGCGGCCAACAAGAGATAGAAAGACGGAATCGGCGGAGAAAGGACGGTGCTGCCTCACACGACCCGTTAGACCCCAACTCAACTAGAAGTTCGATGGATAGTACCAGGAGTCCATCGGCGCCTCCCTCCCAAACCCCGACACATGGCAACGCTACGGCGGATGATGCCGCATTTGCAATCGGGGACGATGATGATGACAGCGACGATGAAGAACGGCCGACACCGGCAGCATCAAGTCCAAGCGAAAACCCTTCCGCCGCTTCTTCTGTCGCATCAGCCGCCGACGATGATGTGCCAAGGCAGATACAGGGCATGTCGGAGAAGGCGAGAGGGAAACTGCCGGCGGGCGCACATAGCTTCTCTCGCCATAACAGCACGCCCAGCCTGGGCAGTGCTACTCCGGGCCAATCCCAGTCTGGCGTATTCGAACCCTCGGCGCAGTGGATCGAAAGTTGGCTGCTAGAGTTACCACTGCATACTACCCTGACGCTAATACAGCAGCTCTCAGCCCTAATCCCAACCTTACGCCAGGCGATCTCGTCGGAAGCGCCGCTACCTGCGGCTTTGAGCAAGATTCGAGAAGCACAGCTTGTTGGAATCGAGCCATCGCCGATCAGGGTACACTCGTTTGAGTGGTCACCGCTGGCTCTGGGGTGGTACGAGTCGCTGCTTTGGGGGTTCATCTTTGCCAGCGAGATGCAGGTTTCCAAGGGGACCGTGGGCGTATGGAATACGACGCAAATCAAGCTCTTCCGGGTACAGGAAACGGCGCCACAGGGCCCTACGCTTACTTCGCCGCGGGGCGCTGTCGACGCAGTAGGGAGCAATATCGTGTCGCGTATTGGGGCCATCAACTTGCGGCCATCGCCGGGATCAGCACCTGGAAACGGACAAGCTCCTGCGCGGGTCGTTTGAGTACCCCAGGGGGAGATGGAAGTGCCCTAAGCCGAAATGGACCAGTACAGAGCCCCCTGGTCAGATGTGTGTTGCTTTTGGTAATTTATCGGAACTTGGGATTGGGATGCCTACTCTCCCGAGCAGATTGCAGCCCGGATCTTACATTCGATGGAGGGTCCACGATATAGGGATGTTAACTGGCGTCGCGGCTGCATTTGTACCAAGTTTTACCATGTTAACGGTCGGGCACAAAGTAGTTAGTCTCAGCCACGCCAGGCCATGCCACTATCTACACCTACTGTACTTTGTTAGTCGAGACATATCAGTGGACGCGGGAATTCCGCTGACAGTATACGGAAACGTGTCGGACTCTGCTTTGCGACCCAACACCACCATATGGAAGGGCTGGTAATACCTGCTCGTAAAGTGCAACTGCCTGCTCCATTACTCCTCATTGACCATGCACCAAGAGCATGAGACATGCCCACGACAGAATACAGCCATCTATCAATATACAACCCGAGCGTAGATAGATTCATGAGAAGTTCTGATGCAACCAGCTATTCCCCGAACTCCTCCTCCCCTTCTCATAAAGCCACTTGCTATTCAGGCCAACACTCGACCGCTTCCCACCCGCCGGCGTCGGAGGCGACGGCGTATCACTAAACAAGCTCGACGCGGTGCTGGCGCCGAGCGCACTGGACGAGCCAAACGATGCCCGTCGCCCACCGCTGACAGCCTTATGCAGCAGCGGGCTCGCGGACGAGGGCGAGTAGGTGTCGACGAATTTTGACGGCGAAGGGCCGCCGCCCCCTAGCTTGGACGCGGAGCCTGGGCTGGCAATGTTGGACAGAGGCGAGCTCCTGGCGGCGGGCGACCCGGCGAGCGACGGTGTCCGCGAGTAGCGCGGTGGCGTGCTGTACACCGAGTTGGGCGTGTCGGGCCGCGGTGACGCCGGGGGGAGACCAAGCAGCTTGCGCTGTGCGGGTGTGAGGGGGATGTCGGAGAGGTCGTCCTTGGGTAGGAGGAGGGGGAGGAGTGCTAAGAAGATGCTGAGAAGGGGGATTGCTGAGAGCGCGAGGGTCGCCCAGTCGCTGTGCTGCTTCAGGTCCGGGTGGATTCTGTGCCTTGTCATGAGAAGCGATTCATTGGCGTGGGCCTTGTCGGGGGGGGGGGAGACACTAACAGGTGAAATGGTATATGTTGCAGCACCGTCTGCCGCGTAACCCAGATGGCTATGAGAGCGGCGACGCTGTACACGATCGTTTTGACGTTCTTTCCCGAAAAGGCAGTTTTATTTTGTCTCCTGGTGATTTCGGCTAGACGAGGGTGCTTCCAATTGCCCGGGCTCTCCGTGACGGGCGGCGCGGTCGGCGCGGTCGGCGCGGTCTGTTTTATAGGTGTCGAGTTTGCCTGGACCATCGTACGAGCTTGAGATGACATGGCGCCGTCCGGTGGGAGGAACCGGTCCTTTGCTCTCAATTGAGAAGTGGTTTGCGCGGTGTTGACTCGAGTTTGCCGCCGGAGACAAGATGAAGCGCGTCGAGGGCAAAAGTGATTATTCGTAGTTTAAGCGGCAAAGCGCATGAGATGGTGGATTCCTGCTGTGATGTGTGGTTAGTAGAGTCGAACAGCCGAAGCCCTGGAACGAGGGCGAGCGAGCCACCTGGGTTCGCTGCTTGTATCGTCTATTGTCGGTTGTCGTTGTTTTGTGCACAGAGAGTGACACCGGCGATTTGGCCGATAAAGTCAACACCGACTCTTACCCCGGCGACAGCTCCAGCGCCGCACAGGCCACCTGGGTACAGCTGTCAGACCCCTGTCCTACCTTCACCCCGTCCAAAATCAAATGTCATTTGCTTGCCAAGTCGCCAGCGCATCCCCAGTTCCCCACGTCGGATCGGGCAGCACGGGCCGCCAGTTTATCTGGAACCTACTCCGACCGAGTCCGACATATCTCCCCGCCATCCGCCGTCAGCTTCCCTGTTGTCACCTCTACATACCGCCTCGGCTGCAAGAGGTTCGGCCTCTCGATTTTCTCACATCAGCATCACCAGTACATTCTCCAACCTCCAACATTCACCTCGGATGCTGTGTTAGAGGGCGTCTTCCAGCAGCCCGTCGACCGCGATGGGCTTCTTCGACAATCTGCTGCTTAACCTGGATGCGAGTGTCACCGGGCTCTTCGGACAATGGAACATTTGGACTAGTCTTCTCGCCACAGCCCTCGTGGGCTTCCTCACATACCAAGTGGCTACGCGGCAAGACCCGGACACGCACCCTTTCCTGCTCGCCCGCCAAGCTCAGGGCACGGCCGTTCGTCAGCCCGGCGAGTCGCCCGTCTACCGGTCACAGGCCGCTCCTCATGGCATGCTGCTTAATGCCGGGTTGAATGTGAAGGATCCGGGTGCGTCCAAGTGGTCGAGGGGACGTGACGGCGATCTACGCGATGTGTGGCGCCAGGCTGTTGCCGGTGTTCAGGAGCCTGGCCCAACCAAAGGTGCTAAGGGCCGCATCCTTACCGTGCTCGGCGCCGAAAAGATTGTTGAGCACAATCTGGACGACATAACTCGCCAGATCAACCTCATCGGCCAGCATATTGCTGATCAAGGGGGCAACCGCGTGGCCATCTACCTCCCAAACTCGGTTGAGCTTCTTGCGACGCTTTTCGCCTGCGCCTTTTATAACCTCACGGCCGTGATTCTGCCCTTCGACCAGCCTGACGATGCCGTCATCTCCATGCTCCGCCGGTCTGCCACCGACACCGTCGTGACCGCTCCAGGATCGTTCCCCTTCGACGCTGTGGTGAAGAACTATCCTTCTTTGCGCCAGCTGATCTGGGTCGTCGACGAGGGCAGCAAGCACATGGATTGGAACGAGGTTCCGCAGGGCACCGGCGGCAGCGTCAACGTGTCCACCTGGCAGGACATTGTCAACGACGCGCCCCTGGACGCTGGCAAGACTCTGCCTCCTCTCGAAGGGCAAAAGGAGCCCCGCGACGTCACCGTCTTCTGGCAGTCCAAACCAGGCCAGCAGGAGGAAATGGTCCGCTTCACAGCCGGTAACTTCGTCTCGGCCATCGCCGCTCAGATCTTTGCCATCCCGACCTCGCAACGGATGGGGCCTTCGGATCTCTTCCTCCCCGCCGACTCCCTGGCAAATTCACACACCCTCGTGCTCACCCTTGCCGCCCTCTTCTCCAACGCCTCGGTCGCCTTCAACTCAGTCGCCTCGCAAGCCGACGACCTAGCCACGGCAACCGGCGGCATCGCGCCGACCATCCTCGTCGCCACCCCCGCCGCCCTCCTCAAACTGCACACCGAATCTAAGCCCGCGCTGTCCTCCTTCATCGGGAGCAAACTGCACTGGCTGCAAACGCGGAGCCTCACGCAAAAGGGCATGATGCCCGCCGCGGGGGGTTTACTGTCAAGCTACTACGACCGCACCGTGCGCCCGGCCCTCGGCACCACCACCACCACCACCACCCCAAACAAGAAGAAGCTGCGGCTGATCGTGACGGCCGAGCGGGTCGGCGCCGACACGCCCAAGCTCTCGTCGGCCGTCTTGTCAGACCTGCGCGCCCTCACCGGCGCGCGCATCATGTACGCGCTGACGGCCGCCAAAGTCGCCGGCGCGGTGACACAGACCAATTTCTACGACTACCGCGTGTTTGACGACAAGTGCTCGCACTTTGGTCCGCCCCTGACGAGCACGGAGGTGCTGTTTAGGGATACCGAGCAGTACAAGACAAGTGATAACATCAGTCAGGGAGAGGTGAGTTTATACAGTGCATTGTTTCTGTGAAGTGAAGTGGAAAGGGGTTGCTAACCTTGATGCGTTTTTCCCACAGATTATTGTTAGAGGTCCTTGTGTGGCTGGGATGGAGGCGGCGTTGGGCGTGGCGGGCAAGATGAGGGAGGACAACACCCTCGCCTATGTCTGAGCTTTACTTCTTGTGGCTGAATGCAGCGATTAGGTGCTTACTAGCGTATGGAATTGTTTGGTTCTCCTGGGCGAGCCTGGTCCTTCTGTAAGGAGTCTTCAGTGTGACAAGACATTGTCTGCTAGTCCGTTTTCAAAGGTTAGATCTATATAGTTAACCAATGATTAGACGCCCAGTTCATCATACCAATTCACACATATCACCTTGACACGGGCTATAAAACATGTTCGCGTGATATTACCCCCATCATAAGCCAACCGTTCTGCGCCAGCGCCTTGCCCATGTGCATACGTACGACAATCAATCAAACCATGTACCTACCCTCGAAACCTTCTTCCTGTTACGCACCATTCCTGTAGACCTGCGCCCCCTGGTTCCGGAACATGATGGTATCCCTCCTCTGCAGGATCATCAGCGCCCGGTTCAGCGCCACCTCACTAAAGCCCTTGCCCTCGACCATTTCCCTCCGCAGCGTCGCCAGGCTGGTGCTCCAGCCGATGGGCAGCCGGCGCTTGAGCTCGGCCTCGACGCGCGACACCTCCTCGCTCAGCTCGCGCCCGCCGCCCTGGTTGCTGCCCTGGTTGACGGCGTCCATGGTGGAGGCGAGGAACAGGCGGATGGCCTCGTCGACGTGCGCCTCGGTCGCCACGGGCGAGAGGGTCAGCTTGGCGAGAGACTCGGTGATGCGCACAATCGCCTCGAGCTGACGCACCGTGATGGGGATCGACGACCGCGCGTTGGCCTCGAGCTCCGACGCGTGCACCTGCTTGCGGATGGCGACGAAATGCGACGAGAGCTTCTCGGCGGCGGCGTCCGACAGGCGCGGGGCGCAGCGGCTGGTGGGTTGAAACGTTAGTTGTGTTGTGGGATGGGGGGGAATAAGGGGGATGAATAGTGCGGAGAGCTTACGATTTGCAGTAGCTGATGTAGCGCCTCATCTTTTCGACGGGGATTTCGGCCTCGACCCGCTCTTCCACGCCACGCCCGCCCATGTGGATGCCCATGACGTGCTTGGCAATGCGCTCGTCCCTGCCGCGCTCGTGCTCATCCTTGACGATGAAGATCATGTCGAAACGCGAGAGAATGGTGGTTTGGAAGTCAATGTTCTCGCCGGGCGTCTTCATGTCGTCGTACCGCCCAAAGATGGGGTTCGCCGCGGCAAGAACTGATGTTCGCGCGTTCAGAATGGTAGTGATGCCGGCCTTGGCAATCGAGATGGTCTGCTGCTCCATGGCTTCGTGGATCGCAACTCGGTCCTCGTCACGCATCTTGTCGAACTCGTCGATGCACACCACGCCGCCGTCTGCGAGGACCATGGCGCCTCCTTCGAGGTAGAACTCGCGTGTGGACTGGTCGCGCTGAACAGAGGCTGTGAGACCGGCGGCCGACGAACCCTTGCCCGAGGTGTAGATGGCGATGGGTGCCACCTTTTCGACAAATTTGAGCAGCTGCGATTTGGCTGTACCTGGGTCACCAAGCAACAGCACGTTGATGTCGCCACGGAGTTTCATCCCATCCGGAAGGATCTTCTTGGAGCCGCCCATTAACAGGCACAAGATAGCCTTCTTGATATCTCGGTTGCCATAGATTGAAGGTGCAATGCAGTCGGCCATGATGTTGTAGAGGTCGGGTCGCCGGCTAAGCTCGAGGAATTCTTGCTCTTCCTCGTCTGAAAAGATAGCCTGTCCCTTGGCGGTTTGGTCAATATCCGTCTGGATACCGACAGCACGCAGATAGGGGGTCCGGATAGCAACGGCGCCGCTTGTCGAACTCTTGGAGCCCTTGTTCTGGTAGATGGAGAAGATGCCCATAACGGTGCACCGCGAACCCGGTACCACGCGGTTTGTGAGGTAGCGATCAGCAGATATCAGAACGTGACGGGGCAACTCTCCAACCGGCACTTGATCGGGAGCCTCCTGAAGCTTGATAATTTGCTGGTCGACGAACTTTGACTTCTCGTGCACGACAAAAAAGGGGTCGAGTGGGCACTTTTCCGTCGGGTCACCGGGTGCCCTGAACCTGTCGCACTGCCTAGGGAGCGTCACACTGCTGAAACCCCCCTGAACGTGGATATCCCGTACATGTCCGCAGCCGCGGCACTGGATGTGGAGATCTGTCGCCTTGGAAGACATGACCGATGCGCCAATGACGATGCCGGGTACTCGGACCAGCCGTGAGATGGTGAGCGAATCGAGGTTGCGGATCGACACATCTTCGGCGTTGGAGTGGAGGAGTAGTTGATGCTCCGGGAGCTTGACGTTTGGATCATGGGGATAGACAATCCTGTGCGTGCACCGCTTCAGGGCTGCTTCGAACTAGGATTGTGTCAACGTGTGTTGGGACACCTAAAGTGAATTTGATCCCGTACCAGCGGAATGATTTCTGCAGGTTCTGTCACTAATCTGTGAGCGATTTCCTCGTTGAACTTGATCACGTCGCCGATGTTGACATCGCAGTAGTATTTTTTGAGGAGCGCATTTTCGCGCAATTGGTCTCTGCATAAACACAGGTTAGCTCCTGTATCTGAGGACCTGAGGATCGAGGTCTGCCAGTGCCTCACCGGTATATGAAGATGTTGTCGAGCCGGAAGTCGAGGATGAAGGATTCTAGCAAGTTCCGGACAGCAGAATTGGAATCTTCACTCCCAGGGAAATTATCGTGGTACAGCCGAGTCGAAAAGACGGATTGACGATCCATCTTGTAGTGCCGTGATCGATTCCTCGCAAGCTTTGAGAACAGAGATTGTGCGGTATTTGCGAGGTACAGAATGTCACTGCACGACCGGACAAAATGTTGGAGGGGCAAGGGCTGCGAAAGGGTCGAGAGAGACTACAGCGTTTGTACGCGACGCGTAAAGCGCCAGCCTTGACGCGACCCCGACGTGTATTCGTGCAGGGATCTTAATTGATCTAACGTTGCATGTAACTTACAAAAGCATTGTAATGTACGTGTATGTATCGCACGGATACGATACATACACTTATGCCAAGGCGCTGATCTGTGCTTTATCGCAATAAACGGTCTCCAGCCCAGCCCAGCCCCAGCATGCAGCTACCGGGTAGGGATGAAGCTAGCCAGGTACCAATGTACTGAACACACAAGGGATCGGCCGCGTAGCAGCGACCAACCCGAGATTCATTGTTCCTTCCCGCTGAATCCAGACCAGTACCGATAGCAGCTGCAAGCCCTACGCAGGAAAGGCCAGACATTCCTACATATTGCTTGCAGACCTAGCCAGCGCTCCCGAAGGCGAACAAGCTGTACTCGTCCACAGCAACGATCGAGCACCTCTTGTTCCCCCTGATCCTACGGGCGCGCTCGAGCGATGATACCTCGGTAACAGCGGCCTCAGTCAGCTTCATAGCAAGAGTCGCGCGACTTAGCTCGGTTCTGTCCGTATTGCGACCTGGATGGGTCTCGAGTAATCCTTGGGATTCGGGCGTTTGGCCGGGGAGGGTGAGGCATCATGTTCTCCAATACAGGGACGCGCAAGTCTGTGGATAGCCTGTCGTCGACAGTATCCGCAGGTCACCGGGGCGACTTCCCCTTTCACGGGTGCGCATCAATGTTGTGTCCGTTATGACGCTGTCAATGTTAACAGCTTCAAGGAAAGGGCCACATAGCCCACCGCGTCCCGCCCATCAGCGACGAGGCTCGACTGCCAGCTCCATTTACTCGATAGGAGGCTCACTGGACCCCTCGGGAGGGTGGACAAACGCCGTCCTCGAATCGGGTCAAAATGCCATTTCAACCTTGCTGCAGCCGCCCATAGTGCGGACTGGTCTGCTTCCACACACCTCTGCGCCCGCCTCAAGCGCCCACAAGCCTCCGACAGCGCGAGACATACCCCCAGTACCACTCACTAACATTCCGCACGTTGAGCCGTCCGAATTCAACCCCTATTTGTCCCAAGTCGGCGCCTTGTATGAGCAGCTGCGTCGGATCCAGGCCGATGAAGACCAAGCAACAAGCAGCCTGTTTCGTCGAGCCTCCAAGACCGATGAGCTCTCCGATGCCCCCGACGAGAGCCACTTGCGACCGGGTAAACGCCCCGGTTTGTCATCGAGGCGGACCTCGACCGCGTCCATCACCTCTCTGTCGTCAATAGAAGCGGCCACGACTCCGCGCCCTTCGAATTCGCGTACTAGGAGAGGAGTGACGCAGGGACCTCCACCGCTGTCGACGATTCCCGCCGTATACTTTGATGAAGACTTCCACCTGGAGAATCCCCGCATATTCGATGTGGTCAGTGAGCGATCCGAGGTGGTGCGACCGACACAGGGCAGCGATGAGAAGGGTGCATCCAATGGCCAAGCCGCCGCACCTCGCAAAGCACTGGCAACGAACGCCATCCTGCAGGAAAAGCTATCCTGGTACATGGATACCGTTGAGATGCATCTCATCCAGTCCATATCGACGGCGTCAACTACTTTCTTCACCGCCCTTGGCTCTCTACGAGAGTTGCACTCGGAAGCTGCTGACTCGGTAGAGAGAATAAAGGCACTGAGAAAGGAGCTAAAAGATTTGGATGAAGAGATCGCCACGGGCGGCTTGAATATTGTTCACCAGCGTCGCAAGAGAGAAAATGTCAAGCAGTTACATGATGCCGTCATGCAACTAAGAGAGATCGTTGACGGCGTCGCCGTCTGCGAGTCATTGGTCGATGCCGGGGATGTCAACGAAGCCCTGGACCATATTGACGCCCTTGAGAGGCTCATTGCCGGTGAGGCATCAGACGACAGCCACGCGGGAACGCGGCTAAGGGACCTGAGAGGAGCTACCGCCCTCCAGGGCGTTAACAGCGATCTGGACACGCTCCGACTCCGGATCGGGAAAACATTTGAAGCGAGGTTCATCAGCACGTTACTCACGGACCTTCGAACCCACGTTGAGCGGGTATCCCACCAGGAGGTTCTAATGCGCTGGAGTAGTGCTTCGATGCGCGCTCGGGGGACACACAGCCGCGAACCGTCGGCATTCCCTGCATACATGGCGGCAACAGATGTGATAAGGACAGAGTTGTTGGCGAGCCTAACCGGCTTACAGCGTGCAAAGTATCTCACAGCCGCGGCAAATGCATATCGCGAAGCAGCACTTCGAGAGATTAGAAACATTATCCGACAGCCTCTCCCAAGCTCCGATGACGACGACAATGAATCCCTCATGTCCACATCAACTAGGACCGGCGGTAGACAGCGCTCCCAGCAGGAGAGGTCCATAACCTTGGCTCGGAATCTGCGGGCATTAGAGCCACGAGAGGCTGATGAGCTTTTGACGAAGATATACATAGGCGTAACCGAAACGCTGAGAAGACTAAGCACCCAAGTGAAGGTCTTGTTAGATGTTGCGAGCTCTATCGGCGAGCCTTCAAGTCCCGACGGGCTTCGATCCCCTCCGCTCAAGTCACCTCCATTCAGCCCCACAGCGAGGCAAATTACAGGCGCTGCCCAGGAGGCTCAGGAAGAGATTCATCGGGTCGTTGACCTTGCTAATCTCCTGGGTCAAGCTGTTGACGTTGCCCAAGAGAAGATTGTCAAGGTATTGCGGGTGCGATCAGAACAGAGCAAGCGGCTGGGTCTCATCTGGTTCCTCCGGTATTTTACGCTGAATCTGCACTTCGCCAACGAGTGTGAGGCCATCTCGGGGCGCAGTGGAACTACACTAAAGACCGTTGTCAACGGCCACATCAAGGACTTCATCCAAATACATGGGGACGCCGAAAACCAGAAGCTCGCACAAGGTATGGATTCGGACCAGTGGAATTCTGCCGACTTTGGCGATAAAGACGCCGAACTCCTCAACCGCATACTGGAAGGGAGCACTAGAGATGCTGCCACTTGGGCCGAGGGGACTCAGATATGGATTCCCTATGAGGAGGCCGATACGGATAAGGAGGTTGATGTCGATGCGCCAGCGGCGCAGACGAACGGTAGTGGCAAGGCCAAAACGCGGAGTGCTGTGGTGGATTCGGAAAGCTTCCTGCTTCCCGAATCTGCGATTTTGTGTATGCATGGAATCGCTCGCTTCTTGCATCTCATGACGGCCATACCATCCATGACGGCGGAGATATCAGCATCCCTCGTTGCATATGTCCAGCTCTTCAACTCGCGCTGCACACAGCTCATCCTTGGCGCGGGAGCAAGGATATCTGCTGGGCTCAAAAACATCACGGCAAAGCATCTTGCGTTGGCATCACAGGCCTTGGCGTTCATGGCGGCGATTATTCCTCACGTCCGAGAATTCGTCCGGCGACACTGCGGCACGGGAGCTACAGTATCAACCGTCATGGGCGAGTACGATAAGGTCAGACGTGCTCTTCAGGAGCACCAGAACAGCATCTACGATAAACTTGTGGAAATCATGACTGGGAGAGCTCTCGCCGGAGCGAAGAAACTGAAGGCGCTGGACTGGAATCAAGAAGCCGCCAACGGCACGAATGAGTACATGGAGACACTGGTCAAAGAGACCACAACATTGCATCGTAACCTGACCAAGCATCTCCCCGAGAGCACAGTGGGGTTGATCATGGTACCCGTGTTCAGGAACTACAAGGACACGTTTGGTGCTGCATACAGAGGGGTGGAGCTCAAAACCGAGCAAAGTCGGGAAAGGTACGCTCTTCTATCTCAGCTATTTTTTGAGACTGGCCAGATGCTGACATGAAGCAGGATGCTGCGCGATGTCGGATACTTCCAGTCTCGACTGGAAAAGATCGAAGGATTTGAAGACGCGGGTGACCATCTGATGAAAGTTGTCAGAAGCAAAGAGGTTACGACACCGGTTCCAGCGCCGCCACCGCCAATGCCCTCACCAAAAGAGGAGAACGGGGAAAAGTCAGGAGAGGAGCGAGCGGCGTTGGAGGCACAAGCGGTAGTTAAAGCCACGGAGAAGAGTGAAGATACCAGCGACAGCAGCAAGGCGTAACGGAATTGCAATGACTGGTGTTGACGGCTGGGTTTGGGGATCGTCCTGGATGAAATGATATAATTCGACGATGGCGGTATAGATGGATATGTGGTTTGAATATTCCGAATGGATTAGCGTTGACGTCTAGAGAGCCTAGGGGCGGACGCACTGCGATCGACCCTTACAACCTAGGGCTGCTTACGTATAGATACCATCAAACCACGCTTCAAGTTCTGATCATGTTACGTGCACTACATAACAGAGTACCGGTAGTCTATGAGCGATAAGCTGTTGTTGAGAATTCCCTCTCAGATGGGCGCTGTCAATTGAGCCTGGTATACGATCGAGATGGCAGATATCGAGCTAGAGATGTCAGTTTGATGAATGTCACTAAGTGGGTGTAGGCTGTCAGAGTCGCCCCTTCTTTTGATCCTTCTGCTGGAAACCCAGAGAATTGTGGCCCTGCGATGTTCTTGTCCCCTCAAAAACGCAATCATGAACGACGAATCATTCGCTGGTCTGTCGCCAAGGTCCTCCGCGTCTCGCTCTTGCTGTCCTATGACCCGGATGCCTACGGCAGGAGCAAGTTCAACCCATCCTTTACTGTTTCGCGCCAGCATAAACCCCCACCCCCCCACCAAACACCCCTTCCCCCCCGCAATCCTCAAACCTTCTGGATGTTCACAATCTTCACTGCACTGCCAGACATGGCAGTAGTATCCTGGCTCACCAGGACGAGTTACGGGGCCATCCTGAGCAGCAGCGGCAACCAAACCTGAGAGGGGATGAGAAGTCGGCCGCCAGCACAAAGATGCGCGATCTCGTTGTGCAGCTCATGAAACAAGTTGATCGAAGATTGATCGCAACTTCCTGCAGCCAAGCGGAATTTTCCTCAAGGAACATCTCATGGACTGATCGTGATATGCAGCTATATAAGAGTACATGAGACAACGTTGTTGTGCAGTTCCGAAGTATGGATACTGACAGAAACATAGCTCTTCCTGAGGAACCTCTCTTATTCCTAGGACTAAGGACTCCCTTTGAGAACCAAGACACACGTCATGTAAAACCTTCAGCTTTCATATCCTTTTGTCTGGCCGTTTGCTCTTTCGTTTGCTTCGTATCTGGCCGTTTGACAGCCGGCCCACACCTCCTTGATTTTAAGGCTTAAGTAGGCCACCCTGTTGCAGTGCTGTAGTATTCCCTTCATCCACACAAAAGAACCAATACAAGACGAGTTAACTCTCTTTGGGTTGTGATTCTATATATATCTCATCTCTGTCTCAAGAGTCGAACTCTCGCATACCACCTCGACCGGACTTACAGCAAGACCTTATGAATCCGAACCATGCCGTGTTCCTGTTGAAGTACGGCAGACGTCAGTTACTATATCTTTCGTCTTATGGCTCTTGAACAGATCGATCATGGTTGCTAGGGCCTCTGAGCCTTACGGCTCTGTCGTCCTCTTCCACTGGACAAACGCCGTCACCACCTATATTTCTAAGCACATCCTCCTGGCCACAGTCCCTCCTCTTCTTCCCTCAACAACACTTTTGAGATTCCCACAATCATCGAGCGAGACCGGTCTACGCAGGAGTTCAGGAGTTTAAGAGACACGCAAGCCCAAGACAAGCTGTCAAACCCGGAAGCAAGAATGTGGCCGAAAACGCTAAAAAGGCGCTGAAGATACCGTTCGCGGAGTGCCGAGCGGTGGCAGGAAGGGCATACTACCGAGAACGGCTGATCATTGACCCGGAGGATGAGAGGCTCCATCTTCAATTGATCCATAAGATCCACGCCTCGAAGCCCGGAGGCCACCCGGGAAGAGTGAAGACGGCCGACTTGGTCAACCGGTGGTACTGGTGGCCGGGCATGAGCCTGGCAGTCAGGAAATACAGCCGGGCCTGCGCCCTATGCGAAAAGACGAAGACCCCGAGATCGTCGCCACCAGGGTTCCCTAAACCTTTGCCAGTACCGTTCGCGCCGTGGCGGGACATATCCGTTGACTATATGACGCCGCTTCCACCGTGTATGAGGAGGGGACAGACGTTCCGCCAACATCCAGAGCCACCTCGGAACAAAGCTGCTGCAAGCCTTCACGCGTGGGATAGGGATCGTGAGCAAAGCATCCATCCGAATAGCGGGATGATACACACAAGTGAGGGCCGAGAAGAGCTCAACATGGCTATCCAGGACCTCAGCGTCAGCAACGAAGTCATGGCAGTTCTATGTAGTAGACCTCTTCCGTCGGCTGGTGTACTCCTGAGGCCGAGATACCTCGCTAATGCCAATTTCATCGCATCGTCTCCCGTTGCAGCAAGCAATCACTTCCGAGGCATGTTCAAGCCCGATTTGGTGTACTTCGACGAGGCATCTCATGCTTGAAAGCTGTCAACAACCGCAGCAACATCACGAGACGAGAATGAAGCTAGGTACCGTATGACTTTGTCAGTTGTCGACTCGTCGAGTGGTCCCACCTTACCTACACATCATATACAACCATACACAACTATATATATGCCTAAATGGAACTACCTTGCTTAGTGTGATTGCGGAAGGTCAATTTTACAGTTGTATTGCTCAGGGGCAATCTACGTTATAGGTCAGTAAGGAATTCATTCTGTTAGGGGTATGGGTAATACTTATGGTTTTGGTGATATATTTATCATCTGCCTGGGCAATCTGTAGTCAGCATGACTTGCTGACTGTGAGTAGTGAATAGGGAAAGAACTGGCCTTACAAGGAGAGAACCGAGCTTCTTGGAGTATGCCGCCGTCAGAACAGCCGGCCATGACCAATTTCGGATTCGCGGACTCGCCTCTCTTCACCTATATTCCGTATGGAGCTTACTCCTGCTGCTTGCTGCGCTCTCGCCAACGGCTGAGGCCGCGGTTGGGGTGCAGCGTGCAAGTGAAGTCCGTCTCGGTGATGGCCTTGGTCTGCCTGTCGTCGGGGGCATAATTCAAACTACTTACTAAGGTGCCGCAAGGTCACACTGCGGCAATGTTCAGGGGTAACCATTATAGGTCAGTCAATATTCACTTTGTTCGTGGCTTGGTCAATATCCTTTTGGGAAGTTATTTATTGGTGAAGGCTATCAGTCTGGTGGTTAGCATTGAGTCGCTAACAGTGAGGGTAGGGGGTAGGGGAGAGTGGGCAAAGAAAGCGCCGAGATCCTTGCAGCAAGGAGTATTTAGTACTCCCGCTGCTCCCTCGGCTCACTTTCGTGTCATCCCTTAGCGGCCAGGGCCGCGGTTAGTATGCAGGGTGACAATCAGGTCCTGCTCGTATGTCGCCTTAGTCTGGCGATCATCGGGCTGGTAATAGGCATTGTCACACGGGAAGATGACGCCGCCAGAGTTGGGAGTGCCCGAGCCGGCAGGGTACATGAGATGGACTCCGTCGTGGTCATTGGGGTCCACGATGGCGGAAACATCAAAGTAGGTGATTCCACCGCCCTGGTTGAAGGAGACCTCCATCAGCATTCCCGGCTTGACCGGGCGGCCGTCAACAACAGCGAACCCGTTGCCTTCCCAGTTGTGCTGGAATTCGACGCGAACGCGCCCGCCGGCGGGAACATGGACCGGGCCAGGGGTCGCGATTCCAGGGTTTCTGGTAAAATTCACGGTCCTGCCCAGGTTGTCCTGGGACACGAAGGTGACGCTCGCAGCCGAGGCCAGCGTAGCCGCCCCGGTTACAAGGAGAATGCTCTTCATGGAGAAGACCATTGTGGTTGCTGTGTGTGGAAAAAAAAGTGAGAGTTTGCTGCTCAGTCTGCGCTTGTTGAGAATGAGACGGACTGAGTGTTGAGAGTGTTGATGAGAATGAAGACAGGAAGCCTGAAGGAGGGAAAGGAATGTCGTAATATACTGCATTTCTTGCTGGCCATGAACCTTCACCAACAGCCTCATGATGTTCCAGCAGGCGGTTTGTTCCTAGACATTCAGTCTGTATGTTAATCACACCCGAAGAACAGTGAAGTTGTTGACTTGGGCTTTCGCTGATGGACAAGAGTCATGAACACACCGACCTGGGACGGTGAAGGAAAGCACAAAGGCGTTCTGACATAGGGACAACCTCTGGTCTCTTGTAAGTCGGAATAGTAGTTCTGTTCCGGAATCGTGGAATTGTGCGAGTAACTGGAGATTGTTCTATCCAGTCCGATGCCATGCAACGGGTTGAGGGCTTTGTTTGACATGTGCAGATCAGGCCGCGAACACCATCCTGAACAGAAAACAATACTGTCCTGGTCTTGGCAACCAGAAAGAGAACCTAGGCCGAGGAACAATATACGCGCAGTCGGTTGGGAGTACTTGTGAGCGAACATACTGACTGTTCAGGGGTAACATATCTCCTCCGTGGATCGCAGGGCTTACTTATGCGACCCTTCATTGGAAACAACAATAAAACAGTGTTGCTGTTTATCACCACGTCCCTAATTGCTGCCCACCATACAGGCATATACTCTCTCCACATGGTACAACCACAACCCCTTTATCACCCTAGCACACACTTTGGCCCTCTAACTTCGCTCTCATCATCTAATGCAGTGGAATTGAACCTAGAATTGGCTCCCCTTAGTCAAACGTCTATACTCTGCTAGCTATCGGCAATGAGCCCGAGTACATGGTGTGTTCAGGGGTCCAGAGTCCAACTGACGGATATTCTTCTTGTCCTAACTTTTGAGCTGTTCAATAATAACCCAGATAGCTCCCACAAGCCATCCCAGATCGGCGCGCTGTGACCAGAACACACCTCGGGGTGGCTTGGTTGCGGGCTGAGTAAGAGGTCAGGTGTGAGATTGGTCGAGACGTGAGAGTGACTGCAGTCTCCCACTGCCATTTCTGGTCGGGTCACTTAGACGGCAGGTCCCTAGGGGCCTGAGCATTTGACCTCCTCCGGCTTGCGTTCGCTTCCCGCCCTAGTTTCACCGCATCAGAGTCCCTACGGGCGGTATAACCACCGCGGTCAAAGGCGGCGATTCCTCTGCCTCACATGTTTCTGCATATCCCAGGCTCCGCCCCCGCTTGCAGACTTTGAGGACTCCCTATCCGAGGTTCTCCTGCCAGACAGATACCGCGGTTTCTAGCGCCCCATAACGTCTGACATCTCCATCCTCGAACGGGCTTCGCGCATGAGTGCCTTGGCCTCCTCAACCTCGACGCCGTCCTGGCAAAGCTCCATCGCAAGACGGTTGGCCGTTTCGTAGTCCTCGTTTCGCATGGCATACCTGGCAAGCCACATGCGTGCTTTGCTCGTGGCAAACGTTACTCCGGTCCCTTCGTGGCCGCCGGCTTTTTCGGCCCCTTCACCTTCCCCATCCGAGCCCGCGCCGCCGGGAGAATCGTGGTGGATAACGACAGAATCTCCCAGGCCACCACCCTCGTCGGCGTCCGCCCCTCCGTCTTCCTGCGCCAAGCAGAGCTCCATATATGCCTTGGCTTCTTCCTCCTCGTCGAGGCGGTCGTACATGGTGGCGATTTGCAGCAATACGTCCGGGTCCATCTGGGCCATCCGGTCGACCGTGCCGGCGCTGCCAAAACTGCTCGCTGTCGAGTCGTAGTAGCTGTCGGCTAGCAGGGCTCGTTTAAGCGCCTTGATACCGTCTCGATCGCGGCCCATCTTCTGCAGACACGAACCGACAGCCTGCCACATTTTCCCGTCCCAGGGTCTCAGACCGGCGGCTTTCTTGTAGTACCACAGCGCATATGCGTGCATTTCCAATACCTCATACGTCTGGCCGAGGCCGTACCAAGCACGGTAGTCTTTTCGGTTAACGTCGACGGCTCGGCGATACGACTCGATAGCCGCGTGCGTGTTCTTGAGCTCGACATATTCGTGACCCATGAGCGTCCAGGCCGACAAACATGAACGGTCCAAGGTGAGCGCCCGACGGAAGTACTGGACAGCCTTCTCGTGGAGTGAGAGCAGTGAGTAATAGTTCCCAATCACCACGCAGGATTCCGGCCGGAACTTGTCGATGCTGGCACAAAGGTGAGCAAGGAAAGCCAGTTTTGGTCTCATATTTAGCACGTATAGAATGTTCGAGTAGTGATCGAGAGCATCAAGTCGATGCGGGTGGAGGGCCAACAAATTGCTAAACTCTTGCTCGGCCGAAAGTAAATCTTTTGAGTGGTAGCATAGCAGTGCTTTGCAGGTTAGGAGGAAAGAGGAGGTGGGGAAGATGCCAAGGAGGTCATTTATGGACGCGGCAAGGTCTTGACCCTGCTGGTAGAGGCTAACTGCGGTATTGGCGTGGAAGATAAAGGACATGATGTTTTGCGGAAGGTGAGGCGCGATTTTGTTGAGCTGCAAAGGGTCAGTCAGACCAGAAAAGGGGCCAAGGACTCGCTCACCTGCTCGACTCTAGCAACCAGATTGGTAATCTCAAGCCAAGCGCCCCAGTTCCATGGGAATAAATGGACGCTCTGCATTAGATATTCCAACCCCAGGCTGTCATTCTTCTCTTTCACCAAAACCATGCCGTATAGATACTCGAGAAAGCCTTGGCTGGGAGGCAAAGTGCCGTCATCAGCCTGTCGTTCGGCAAACCATCTGGCGAGAAAGCGGTTGACGAGCAGCAGCTGCTTGTTTGTGACGGATCCCAAATCCTGTGGCCCCATAATCATCTCGCAGTCCTCGTCCTTGCGCTTCTCTCCCGATATGACTTTTGCGTATAGGGCCAGAAACAAACTCTTCTGGCTGACCTGGGGCAGGGGCGGTTCGGACGCCCGCGCAGCACTCGCCTTGCCCTTTCCTTTGCCGTCGGGTGAAGCGCCATCGGTCGGCTTGGTTGACAGGAGTCCAGCCAAGACAGATTCGGGGAGAAACACAGCAGCGCATCTATCAAACTCCTTGCAGTCGAAATACGACTTTGCGAGTAGGTACCGGCCGAGTTCTTGCGCCTCCAGGGCGGCTTCAACGGGATCGGGGTTCGGGGCGAAGGCTGGATGCACACTATCTCCCAAAGAGGCCGACGCTGGCTGTTTTGAATCGTCGGATTCTGGCTCTGGGAGGGCGTCGAGCAACTCAGCGGCCCTGTGAGGGGAGGGTTAGCCGCCTCATTTCAACGCTGGACTGAGGCATCACGGGGCGCACCATTTCGCCGATTGATAAAGACATCTCTCGGAGCATTTCACCACTGCTACCTGCAGGGCATCTCTGAGCTGCAAAGAGTCTCTTGCTGAAAGCACCATGGTGTGCTACTGCGCACGTGATGATGGATATGTGCTGTCGCGAACTGTGGAATCGCTGTAGCTCAGAAAGTCAGGGGTAGGATTTCGCACGTTATCCTGTCGCTACATGGGCATGACCGTGCAACTAGTTGAATTAAGCAAGAAATGGTGACCATGTGGTGTTCGAAGCTTGCTGCGACATGACGATGCGCCTCACGGGTGTCATTGCTGACATGGAATGTCTCAACTACATCATAAGATGAAATCAAGGGATCTGATGTCTTCGCGTCTGATCGCTTCAAATGTACTGTGGACAGGGGTGACGCGCTGCAACCTTGGCGGAAGCTTTAATTCTGCCAGCCAGACGAGACCCCACCTTTCTTGTCAGCTGTCTCACCGCCCGCAGGGGTCCTAACATCCCTGAAGCCCCACCATGAATCGGAACGAAAATGAGGGGCATTGTTTGCGCCGTCTCCTAATCCACCGAATGCGGCACCCTGGCCGGCGATTGCCCAAATAGTCGCCGTCCACGAAGAAGGTACAATAGGTACAAAGTGACACGGGTGCACCAACCGACACTTTCCCCCCTTTCCTGCCGCCTGTTCCTCTCATTCTTTTTGTTTTGATCCAATTGAGCTCGTCCCGTCCTTACTCTACGGCACCTTAACTACCCAGTGCTAGTGTTGTCCGGAAAGCCAACAACAAGACGGGAAAGATGGCGCAAAAAACAACCCTGAAGGAATTTGAGTCCGTCTTCCCCAAGCTGGAGGCGGCTCTCCTCGAGCATGCCAAGTCCTACAATCTTCCGCAGAAGGCGCTTGACTGGTACAAGCAGGTGAGTGTTGCAGGACGATGCTGATGTCTGGCGTCGGCGCCAACCACCCTCACCCCCTTCCACTGTGAACAAAGAGACAGAAGAAGGACCCCCGCTAACCGCTCCTCTACTCCCCTCCAGTCCCTCGAGACCAATGCGGTAGGCGGGAAGTGCAACCGCGGCATGTCGGTGCCGGACTCGGCCTCATTGCTGCTCGGCCGGCCCCTGACCGAGGACGAGTACTTCAAGGCGGCGACGCTGGGGTGGTGCACCGAGCTCCTGCAGGCCTTCTTCCTCGTTTCGGACGACATCATGGACAGCAGTATCACCCGGCGGGGAAAGCCATGCTGGTACCGCCAGGAGGGCGTCGGCATGATCGCCATCAACGACGCCTTCATGCTCGAGGCGGCGCTCTACTCGCTCCTCAAAAAGTACTTCCGCAACCACCCGCGCTACGTCGATCTGCTCGAGCTGTTCCACGAGGTCACGTTCCAGACCGAGATCGGCCAGCTGTGCGACCTGCTGACGGCGCCCGAGGACAAGGTCGACCTGGACAACTTCAGCATGGAAAAGTACCGCTTCATCGTCATCTACAAGACGGCCTACTACAGCTTCTACCTGCCCGTGGCCCTCGCGCTGTACATGCTCGACCTTGCCACCCCGCAGAACCTCAAGCAGGCCGAGGACATTTTGATCCCGCTTGGCGAGTACTTCCAGATCCAGGACGACTACCTTGACAACTTTGGCCTGCCCGAGCACATTGGCAAGATCGGCACCGACATCATGGACAACAAGTGCTCGTGGCTTGTGAACCAGGCGCTCGCCATCGCGACGCCCGAGCAGCGCAAGGTTCTTGAGGAGAATTATGGCCGCAAGGACAAGGACAAGGAGGCGGCCGTCAAGAAGCTGTACGACGAGCTCCAGCTTGAGCAGCGGTACAAGGACTACGAGGAGAAGCGCGTTGGCGAGATCCGCAGCCTCATTGACCAGGTCGACGAAACCCAGGGCCTGAAGAAGGGCGTCTTTGAGGCCTTCCTGGCCAAGATCTACAAGCGCAGCAAATGATTGACTCTGGTATCAGTGTCCGGCGAACCGCACTCGACCGTATTCTCTGGCAATGTTCTGTTCAACACAATATCACTCTTTGCCAGGGAGAACAAACAGATGTTTTTGTCTAGCAAACCTCTTGTAAGCCTAATAATACCCATTTAGCCATCCTTGCGAATAGACGGCTTGAAAACGCATGCGACTCTGAATTCATGAGATGAGAGTACCCGTAGTGTAGTCGGGACCAAGACCGCTGCAAGTTGACTGCCTAATACACTAATGCGAAAGGAAAGATAAGAGCATGCCCCATCGGAATCCCATACCCTTGACGTCTATCAGCGCTGAGCTCTCCTGTTTTGTCCCTAACACCCCTCTCATACATAGGGACTGCCAATCATAATAATACCATAACCTCATGCCCCATAGACATTCATCGTGTAAGGAGTCGTAACCAAATAATAGCACACCGATTACCAGGCCTAGGCCCCACAACAGGCTCATCCAAGCATGCAGAAGAAGAGCATCCACACCAGCCATGATACAAAGAACAAAGCCCATGAGCCCGAAGGAGAAATCATCTCTCTCGGTTGTCAACACTTCTCCGCCGTTCCCTCACCCTCCCCCTGTCCAGCTCGCCAACCCCCATGACCCTCCCTCGGGACTGCAGATCCGCCTCCGCCGCGGCCATGGCGCCTCTGCTCATGGCTGTAGCGCCACCAGCAGTACTCCGGACTGACCTAGACCTAGAGACCAAACCAGAAGACCCAAGCCCAATCCCGGATCCAGACCCGTTGGTAACAGTGGCGCCCCTCCTTCTCTTCTGCTGCTCGCGGAGCTCGTATTGCTGCATAAGGGTGGCTGGTTTGGTATTGGAGGCGCCGTTACTGCTGCTGCTGCTGCCGGCCTCGGCGCGGCGAATGAGGTTTTGTGGAGGGCTCTCCTTAAGGAGCCTGGCCGCCGTGCTGCTTGGCGGCAGAACAGGGTTCGTTGCCAGGTCGACGAGGGGCTTTCCGTCCGTGACGCGCACTCCCCTGCCGCGGCCCTCACGCGACCATTGGGGAGGCTCGACAAAGGTGGGCGTTAGGTCGACGAGCGGCTGTTGTTGCTGTTGCGGCCGCTCGCGGATGGATGGGGCTCGAGAAGGCGCGATCGAGGGCGGTCGTGACGAGGTGCTTGGCCGGCGAGTGGGGGGAGAAGTAGGGTATACGGGGCGTTGTGCTTGTCGCTGTGGACTGTGTACAGAAAATGATTGGTCCTTTGCCCTGTTAATGTTGGGCATTGTTGTCACTGGCCCGTCGGATCCGGATGATGTCCGCGGCCGGCTGGTTGTCGGATATGCAGGGGTTGCGGAGGGAGCTGTACGGCTGTTCAGCAGGCTAGGGCCGTCTGTGAAAGGGTCGGCTTCCTGGGCCATCTTCTGCTCGGACCCGTTATTTATAGCCTGTGCTTTGCGCTTGTCGTATCTGTCGCCGAGCAACCCGTTGGCGGCGAACGCGGACTTGTTTTCTTTGAGATAAGCTGCTGGTACGACCGGCAAGGGTGGAATTGGGTAGTGCTTCGGGGAGGCGGGCGGCGTAGATTCAAAGTCGATCGGGGCACTCTTATAACCAGAATCTTCATTGTACTTCTGGGGGCGCCGCTCCACCGCTGATCGCAGGTTCAGTTTCCTGTTCACCAGGTACCAGCTTCGCCAGCCGTGCACGAGCGAATGGAACCGCTGTGCCGCCTCGCGGTCATCGGTGCAGAAAAAGTGCACATAGTTGCTGTTGTTGACGAAAAGGGCTGATCTTTGCTGGCTTTTGACGGCGTAGCAGTACTTCTTGGGAGGCTTCAAAACCTTCCGCATATGGGCTTCTGTCGGTGAATATATATCGTAGTCGGAGAGGTGACATAATGTCACCACATGCTTGTCAGAGCGCCCAGGATCCGGCTTTTTTGATGCGAGCATCTGTCCGCTCTGGTACAAGACGATGTAGCACTTGGTCCATTTCCCCGGCCGCTGAGAGTGGTAGAGGGCAATGGAAAAGCCGTCCGGCGCCGATGGTGTCCTGGGGACGTTGCCAAGGTCTAGTTCCTTGTCAGTCTCAGGGGAGCCAGGCGAAACCATCAATTTGTATTGTGAGTCGTCCTCCCAAGAGTTCATGACGTCGCAGACCAGTTCGTAGCGCCGCAGCCGTCTTTCAACACCCGAGTTAGACAGTGGTTCTATGAGGACATTGGCGTCGGGATTCATATGCCGCGACATCTTTTCCATCTCATAAGAGCAGGCCTGCAGAACGTCCTGGGCAGTGGTGGTCTTAGTGACCGTGATATTGACAACGATTCCTCTGCATCGTACGGCTACCGACTGCAATGCGATTAGCACAAGCCGATCCGGCTTCACTTGGTATTGACCCACCCTATCAGCGGAATTGCTTGCGGCGCGCGGAGCGTCCATAAAAGCGGGCGCCATCTTGGAGTCAGGGGCCGAGGCCGCGGGCTGGACAAAGCCAGAAGCTCCCGCTGTTGAGCTGGACTGATCATTGACGGACGTCCTCATAAATTGCCGGCTTAAAAAGTCAAGCATTTCTGGAGACGAGTCGGACGACTCTGCCGGTTCAATGAGGCGTTTGTCTAACTTCCTCGTCGTTGGGCAGAATCCTGTCGGTTTCGACTTCCTCCCGTGCCACAGCCTAGGCCGAGCTTTGGCCTCTTGATGGTCTCTGAGCCACTCTCCGGTCCCTTGGTTCCGTTGCAGCTGATGTTGCTGATTCAGTTGAAGGGGATGCTGGTGCTGATGATACCCCCGCTCTGGATACTGAGATGGGTGAACGAACGAAGTGGAGCAGAGAACCGACGACGATGGGCGCACCACCTCAGTATGTATTAACTGAGGAAGGAAGGCGGAGCAGGGGTCCTGTGAGACAGCAAAACAAGCTTTTCGGGAAAGTCCAGGTGCGGCGAGGGTTGGTGTTCGACGAAACGATGAAACAACCAATTTATAGCGGCATGTGACGGGTTGATAGTAGCATCAATATTGTCATCGATTTGCCCCGTCTTTCTCAACACATTAGAGCGGCACAACTTGGAATGGGGAACGGATGCCACACCGCGTGCTCACGGAGAGAGGTCTAACGTTAGTCGTATCATTTTCGGCCGGTGTCCGTGCCGGCGAACCGGGCGAGCTGCTAGGACATTGAGTCGACTGCACTAAGCCGTCGGCTAGAGCTGCATGTCTCTCCAATCCGTTCGTAAGTCTAAGCATGGGCATGGGCACGGCCAGTCTTCAAAGCGCCGGCGATGCATTGGTGGTGATTGTGGCCACAGCCATTGCCCGGACCCTTCTCCGTCATCCAGGTACACGTAGTATGTACAGTACTGTACCAAGCAGTCCCTTGCATGTGCTGATCGGGACCAAGAGATCGGGTGGGCACAGTTTGGGGTCGGACAGCGGATTCAGGGTCCCTAAATGTGGATACTGCAGCAATCAGATGTTGTGGAGATCATGATTGCAGGCCCGTTGCATTCCCTAGAAGGTTTCAAGCAAATCCTCATGCACAAACACGAATCTGCATATGAAGATGAAGCCAGCTACTTTTCAGCCAGGCAGTATCAAACAAGCTGTGGTTGACGTTTCCCTCAGGCAACGTTCATATGTTGCCCTTTCCTGGGAAAGGGTCACCGTCATGGCTCCACCTTAACAACGGTCACTTGAGGACCTCGAACGGTCCTTCACCAGCAGTCTTGACTTCCTCACTGTACTCGATCCTGCCTTTCATGACTTCTAGGACTAATTACTACTCGTAGGTAAGTTGAAAGTTTGTTGCCATCAACGCGGAACCTTTTCCCTACCTTCACCCGCCACACATTTTCACTTCATAGCTCACAAAGCACATCACAATTCGCTATCTACACAGCATCACAAGCCAAATCCATGCGCCGTGGGTGGTACCTAGCCCAAGGGCTAATGCCGCTGGGCGAAAGCAGCAGCGATGATGAGGGTCCCTGTGAACTCCCCGACGGCCGGCTGGTGTGCGGTCCCCATGGTCTGGTATGCTGCTGGGAATGCTACGTCGACTTCAGCGTTACCAATGGGGACGACGATGACGAGGACGACGAGTTCGAGATTGACGGGTTCGATATCGACGAGTTCAAGACCGACGAGGGTGAGGACGACGAGAATGAGGACAATGAGGATGAAGACTACTTGAAGAGAACATTTCGAATTCACCCCGGTCTCAATCATCTCATGGGCCATAACTTGAGACGAGGTTCCGGTCGGGCTTTTCCCACCAAGTTCATCCCACCATCGGCTTTAACGATTCCTTCTAAGTTATTCTCTAGGCTGAGGGACCATGGGCTTGTCACTAGGTAAGTAAACGCATAGCTTATGGCAAGTTGTACTAGCTAATATAGTGTATCAGATACACCCTGCCCAACGATCCCGGCAAAGGCCTCATTCGCACTGATGGTGCATGTTTGAACAACGGCCAACCGAACCCAAAGGCTGGCTGGGCTTTCTGGCATGGACTGACTCCTTCGGGAAAGCGACTTGTAGCCTCCGGCCGCCTGGAGAAGAAGGGGCCTTTTGGCGACGACGGCATTCAGAGTAGCAACCGGGCGGAGCTCCGTGCTGTCATCGCAGCCCTGGGTTTCCGATACTGGCCGGGTGAGGGGTTCCACACCATTGTCTTCGCCACCGATTCCGAGTATGTGGTTGAGGGTTCCACAAATTGGGCAAAGACGTGGGTCGAGAATGGCTGGAAAACATCCAAAGGAACTGGGGTCAAGAATAGGGATCTGTGGGAGGCGCTGCTGGGTGAGATTGAACGATACCAGGGTGAAGGGATGGCTGTTGAGTTCTGGCATATTCCGAGAGCGTTCAACGCAACTGCTGATGCAGCTGCGCAGGAGGCTGCCGCTCAGTTCGATGCACCTGATGAGTGGGCACAAGTTATAGGGCTTAACTGCTAGATTAGGGGTGGTGATACGACTCGTTCTACCACCTACGAGATCGTTCGATCCTGTCTCGCAGATCTTATTCCAGCTGAGGGACCTAACAATTTCATTTGGTAGCACAGTTTGATGAGTTAACATCGGCATGAATGTACAAAAGCAACGATGCAAGCCAACCCATGTTATGGATCATCCCAAGGGATCGCTGGAAGTCAGTGCAAGGAGTGCTCAGCTTGGTGACGCAATGTAGCGCGCGAGGGTCGTAGCTGGGCATCAGATCGACTCATCCCGGGTCAAAATGGACGATCTTTGGATATGATGTACAAGTACTTCGTACATGTACTCCGACAAGCTGCACATACACATGAGAATTAATGTCGAAATGCCCGACACTCCCGCCTCCACCAGCCAACAAAATCCTGCGTCCAAACCTCGATGCCTAGCTCCCTTAGCGCCTTGGTGCTGAGATGGCAGTCGTAGGGCCTTTGCACACTGGCGTTGGGATCGTTGCCCGCCGTATTCGGCTCAATCCGATCAATCGGCAAGCCCATGATCTCACCAAAGAGCTGGCAAATCTCGTACTTGGTGTACTTGTCCTCGCTGGAGAACTGGAGCACCTTTGGCAGGGACGCTTTATCCTCTGCCTCAAGATACCGAACAGCTACATCTATCACCGAGCAAGTATCATTAGCAAAGCAGTCCCTTGGCACAAACCATGAAAGACTCACCATAACAAACCCTCGCCACATCCTCTGTATTCGTAGGGTACCTCAGCGCCCAATGGTCCATACTAATCTTAACCCCCTCCTTCTGCGCCTTCTGCACTGAGTCCATGAGCACATTGACCGCGCTCTCGGCATTAGATTCAGCCGGGCCGTAGAGCACCGGTACTCGAAGCACCACACCAAATCCTTCCTTGCCGGCGGCCTTGAACTCGTCCAGGACGGCACGCTCGCCGTCCAGCTTGGTCTGCCCGTAGAGGTTGGTCGGCCCCGTCTCGGCGTCGGCCTCGTACGGCGCCTCCCCTGGTCTGCCGCTAAAGACGTAGTCGGTCGAGATGTAAATGAGGAGGATGGAACGTTGCGCACAGAGCCGCGCGAGGGTTCTGGACGCTTCGACGTTGACTACCCGTGTGCCCTCGGGGTCTTTGTCGACTTTGTCCGGAAAGCGGTTCGCGGCGCCTGAAGGGAGGGAGTGTTAGATGGGTAAGGTAAGGATAGGGGAGGGAATGGGATATGCTGGGGGAAAGGGCTAACAGTGGACGACGACCTGTGGTCTGAACATAATCATGGAGGTTAGAGCTATTCGTCGTCTTAGTTGAAGGTAAGTTGTGGCTCACTTCTGCTCGTCTAACGCTCTCTCAATCTCCTCACCTTTGGCGAGGTCAACCTTGAGGATTGACGTGCCATCGGCGCGAGAGAAGCCGGTGCCTTTGGCATTCCAGTTGTTTGAGGCAAACCTCTTAACAACCTGCCGTCCCAAAAAGCCTGTGCCGCCGGTGACGAGAGCTGTTTTGCTAGCCATGATGGGCAGGGTCTATGTATCTACCACAGGACCCAAGTGAGTGGTTCAGGTCCGTAGGGCTGATCGCGGGGCAACCCAAGTCACCCAACCCCTTATTAGCGCAGTAATACCCGCTCAATGCGGGGAGTTACCCCAATGTCCACAGCTCTTCACGACGTCATACTTCAGGGTTAGGGTGCAAACCTCCGTACTGTACGTACAGTACCTCGGCGATGTTCGTGCAATCATACAGCTCCAACGCATCGGACAGGGACACTCACTTCAGTGGAGAAAGACTTTTGTATTTTCTCTAACGGATCTTGATAGTAAGAAAGGGAACATCTCTCGCTCTCCGTTTTCTGGAATTGAGCATAATCATGGAAACTGACCCGCTTGATGTCCCATCTTTTTCCACTGTGAAACCTTCTACGAGCGCCCAATCCCAATGCCATGACTACCCGAGCAGTCAGCCGCAACTGAGGGTGTAGAATGGTGAGGCCGGGTTGACGGCCATGACGGGAAACAGGAGTAGGTAGTTCAAAGCAAAGAAGAGCGGTAAGTTGAGTATGCCCGTTTGTCGCAACCAATATCTGGTCAATACGGGGTAATTGCAGCTGAATAACCGAACCAACGCTGTAAGTCAATCTGGCACCACGCCTCAAGGGAGTGTTTGAGAAGTCCCTTTTTCTCATTCCACTCAGTCCTCGTCCGCCACCTTATCAGACACCATCTCCTTGGCACTGTTAATGATCTTCTGAGGAGGGCGTGTCGCAGGTGCCTCAGCAGGCTCGGCGGGGCTGCTCATGCCGGGAATCGGCGGAAGCTGGCCGTTAGTAGGCTCGCCGCCGGGCACCGGGATCCGGATATCCTCCGGGGAACCTGGGATCATTTTTGAATCGAGTCCCGGAATGTGAATTCGCTTGGCCTCGTTCTGGTATGCCGCAGGGATGATCTCGATGATCTCATCACGAGGGAACTTGAGCTTGGGGATATCCATTGTGCTGCAATGCATCAAGTATGCATACAGGACGCGCAACACACTCTCATGAGCGATGATCAAGAGGTCATTCTGCTCACGCTCCAGTTCAAGAATGATGGGTTCAAGTCGGACAGCGAGGTCATGATACGACTAGATCCGTTAGCTCGTTTGCGGGGGAACAAAGGGGTAAACAGATGGCTGCCATACCTCTGCGCGGGGATAGCGATGGTGGTATGGATCCAGCTCATGCTTCTCCACTTCCTCGGGATACAGGAGACGAATAGCCCGCTCAGACAGCTTCTCGCAAACGCCTGGATTGATCTGGCTCATCTGGGACCGCTGTCGGACTTTGTAGCCCATGCGCCTCAGAGGCTCACCCGTCTGGATGGTACGGAGTCTCGTCGAGGTCCAGACTGTCAGGGGCCGCAACGGAATGTCGGGGCCGCCGCGGTCGATCCTCTCCTGGCGCTCCTGCTCCCGGTGCTTGAGAAGCGTCTCAGTCATCTTGTCTGCATACTCCAAGCCCTCCTCGGAGAGAGGCGCGTCGGCCTTATACGAGTCCTCTTCAGTAGCAGGGCCGGCGCGGACGAAGAAGGTGGTGCGCGACTTGATATGCAGGTTGGTCAAGTAGAAGACAATCCTGTGAGACAAGTAGTTGAAGCTGACGTTGTTGTAGTAAAAGGCCTGACCGGCGTTGATCATCTTGACGTAGTTCAGCTCCTCTTCTTGCATGGTCTCGAAGACAGGAATCTTGGTCTCAATCCTCTTAAGATAGCGCTTGGCTGCCTCGTCGGGATCCATGCCATGGAACTGCGACATTTAGTTTTTCAGTCCTCCAGGATTGCTAGCGATTACTCACGTCAGGGGAGGAGATTTTGACGTTTCGAGCATTCTCCTTAAGGATCTCTTGGTCGTCGACATACGACTCAATGAACAGGGTCTACCATAGCCCATGTTAGCAAGCATTCTTTCTTCATCTTTACTGATGACAGACTCACCTGGACATCATGTTTGGCAAACTCCTTGGCGAGGGCTCGGCGACCGCTCGCGGTGGGATTGACCGCGTCGTAGATAGCGACTTGGCCGTTCTCATGGTTCAACCAGGCGTAGATGTCCTCCCTGCACTTCTTAAGGATCTTCTGGCGGAGCATCAGTGAAGCCGGGGATGCATTTGGGTAAAAGTAGTCCTGTGGAACATGGCCTCCCTGACCGACGGTGGCGCGGCGGTAGTCGCCCAGATGGAAGATGCGCGTCTTCACACCAAGCCTGGCGTTGGTCAGCACCCAGCAGACCAGGATGGTACAGACCTAACCTACCACGAAAGATATCGAGCCATTGAGACACAAATATGACTGGGCCTGAAGTCAGCCAACAGCGACGAAACGATGACAAGGGTCCTTACGTCTTCCCACGAGCTGGAAGGCCAACCATGACGATGGCAATCCTGCCGGAGTGGAACAGCCTGCCGGACATGGTGCTGTAGAGCTGGGCTGGGGCCATATTGCCCTGGTCGTCGGGGACATCGTGGATGCCATCGATGAAAGTCGAGCTTTTGCGGCGGTAGCGCGGCGCGTTGGCCGCAATCTCAGCGGTACTTTCTCAGTTGTTAGTGAATGAAAAGGCATGTATGCTGTCTTGTGCGATCAAGTCATCGGGGAAGAGCAATCTCCCCACTGAAGGGTCCGAAGCATCATCATCCTGACGCAACCCATCGGCATGACGGCAAGGCGATCTTCGGTAGAAATCTTGGACAATTTGGGGAAGACGACAATTCCACAACGAAAATAGAATTCTGGAGGGTGCGGCTTACAGGAGAGTGTCCATCTTTCAGACGGTTCGTCCGAAGACGCTTGAGGAGACCGTCCTAGGTGTCGTTATAGAGTAGCACCCTCACGCTGCAGTAGCTGAAAGGTTGAAGCGGGATGTGTCTCCCTTGTGTGCCCAAAAAGCACTTGGAGGTCAGTGGTTGTGAGAAAGAGAAAACCAAAGGCCTCCAAGTTGCGTGATATTCAAAAGTCTCGGCAGTCCTTCCTACTAGACCCCCGGCAGTCGGCGGGCAGTCGGCAGAACAACACGGAGTCTCCGGTGCAACCGCCGGTACTTGACCGAATGACAAGCCACAACCAAGCCCTTTTTGAAGCTCCGTTAGGTCGTGTGACAAAGGCCCCACTTGAGAGCAAGGACACCTTCAAGCTGCACCTTCAGCTATTGCATGCAAACTAACGTGCAGGGGCGCCGAGAATTCGGGTGCGTTGCGGGTTATGGCTGCAGTGAAAGCAAGCCGGGCCGTTGTAAGGGGGAGCAATTCGATGTTGAGGTTCGGCTTAGATCGGGCGAAGCATCACTTGTCTTGTCCCGCTTGTGGCGATGGCGCACAATGCACTCACAGCGGAGCCCAATACAGATCCAATACACTCACAGGGGCCGGCTTGAGTGTCAAGATAGCAATCTGGTCGTCATGTTCAAAACTCAGGGGTTGCAGGACTGATGGGCCGTCAACTGCTTGCTTCGCCTTGGGTATCTCTGAGCTAGGTAATGTTTTAAGAGCATTGCAGGTCCCACGGAATCACAGTCATCTCGAAAGACTTTAAGTATCGGTATCACTTTAAGGTTGACGTTAGGTCACCTTCGTTATCGCTTATCCATCCAGGGGATCGTCGTGCTAGGAATTGAAGCCAAGCGGCCATCGGGCCTGTCCTGCCGACACCGGTCGCTAGTTTTCCCGGCTCCGGCACGTCATGGGCGGGCGCCTCCATCACTGGACCGGGTGATCCGTTGGCAATGGCTTGTGTCTCCACAGGACGCTTGGGCCTTCCAACATGGCTGGCGACTTTGACCATGAAATTTTTGGCCCAGCTCCTTTGACAATTCGATGGGATTGAGTAACCTCCAGCGAATGCTGAACCTTCCCCCACATCGAGAGCCCACGATCGACTGCGACTGCGACGCCAAAACAGGTCAAGGGCACCCCTGATTATCACACCTGGTCAAATATCGGCTGCTTCGATTCCAGCGACAGTTAACCCTTTGAAGCCGGCGCGATCGAGGATCAAAACTTCACGCGACGATCGCGGCCGATGACTGCTGTCGCCATGGCGTCCGCCACTGATACGTCGCTAGCTTTTCTGCGCAATAACCGTCTCTTCTCTGGGCTGTCAGATGTTTATAATGGCTTTCAAGAACGGAGAGCAAAGCTGGGGCTGCCCAATCCTGGTTTGGTAGAGAACGTCGCAAAGGGTATGTCGTGACATGGAGATGGCTCGCGGACTCTCGCATCGTCATCGATCCTTTGAGTTGAGACCTCGTCCACATCACTGACTCTCAGTTTCACAGAGGTCCAGCGCGATGTTCTCACCACGAATTTGATGTTCCAAGGCCTGCGGGCCGATCTTACCAAGGCCTTCAGCCTCAGCCCTTTGTACGTTTCTGCGATCCCATGATCACGTCGAGCAAGCCGCTTCACAAACGTAGCCCATGCCGATGAAAATGGACACGGCAACCCCTACCAGATATGCTGCCCCTTAGTCGAACGCGCCGTGCTGATTCAGAGTCAAAGATTCCAAGTATCCCACCAATTCGCCATGGGCGAGAGGCTGAACCCTTACACTTTCGCCGCCCTGTATGGTACAAACAAGGTATGGACTTATGAACCGCGCCGGTCATTGAAGCAATCTGACCAAATGTTCTAGATGTTTGCGCAAGGAAACATTGACGAGCAAGGCAACCTTTCCACAACATTCAACTGGAGATGGAGCAACTCTTTTGTTACAAAATCGCGATTCCAGATCGCACCTGGCGGCACAGGCCAAGACATGGCCCAATTCGAGAACGAGTACACAGGCGCCGATTTCACTGCCACCATCAAGGCCCTTAACCCTTCCTTCCTCGAGGGCGGATTGACGGGTATCTTCATCGGGCAGTACCTACAGTCGGTCACCCCGAAGCTTGCCTTGGGTCTGGAAACTGTCTGGCAGCGCGCTGGCATTACTCAGGGCCCGGACACGGCTGTTTCGTACGTTGCCAGGTACAAGTCCGACAACTGGATTGCCAGCGCTCAGCTGCAGGCTCAGGGCGCCCTCAACGCCTCGTACTGGCAACGCTTGTCCGATAAGGTTCAAGCCGGCGTTGACATGACTCTTTCAGTTAATCCTGGCGCCGCTATGATGGGCGGGCCTCAGAAGGACGGCACCGCCACGTTCGGCGCAAAGTACGACTTCCGTATGTCGACTTTCCGGGCACAGATTGATTCCAAGGGCAAACTGAGCTGCCTTCTCGAGAAGCGGGTCGCTGCTCCTGTCATGATGACTTTTGCTGCTGATGTCGACCACGTTACGGTAAGAATAATGCAGCCGAACCACGAAGCGCAAAGCTAACTGGCTCAATAGCAACAAGCCAAGATTGGAGTTGGCATTTCCATCGAGGCTGGTGGCGAGGAGCTTCAGGAGCAGCAGGACGCCCTTGGTGCTCAGCCTGCGATGAACATCCCGTTCTAGAGGACAGAGATTCATCGCGAGGACAGGACTACAGAGACACAAGGTCCAATCCTTGCACCTACCGACTCCGTCCCCCCTGCCTCCGCCCCTCAGCCACATAATCTAATCCCTGCTAACTCCGTGGCCGACACCCAACAGCGCGAGCGCGAGCGCTACCACTATGTTCTCCTCATGCTTTATCTGATCATGTTCTCGCCCCTTTCATTCCATCCCTCTTAACTCACGGTCAACTGCCTCGACTTCAAGAGCCAGCATGACCATCATCATGAACTCTTTTCGCGCGCCGGTTGGGCCTGCGTCTTTGCATACAGCACCGGCGGGCTCCTGAACGAATGATAGACATTTTCCCTCCTGTGTTCCCATTCCCTATGCCGCTGCTGCTCCTCCCGGCCATATTTCAGCCATCTATGGGAGGTTTCACCCAGTGGTGCTATCTCTGAGACTGGGACACAACGATGAATGTGCAAAAGGGAGGGAAATCAGATGTGTACTATAGATATCATTTTCGCGCGTCATTGGGAAATTCGGGATAAAGAAGGGGATCTCTTTTCTTTTTGTGCAGTCCATGACCGACCGACCAGTAAGAGTCTTGGGTGGTAGCGGTTGTAGACAGGGAGAGAGGGCCGGGTTTTCATGCAAACAGAAAACAACCTGAAGGGTTCTGCTGAGTCTCACGCTGACCGTCGCGTCGTCCGCTATGGACCCATTGGATGGACGACCGATGGGGGTGGGCCATCACTGTAAGATATAAGTTGCATTGAAGCGTCTGTAGAATAGCATGGGAAAAAACAATGGAGATGTCTGGAATCATGTCCACCTAGCTGAAATTGAGTCTACCAGTATACTGTGCCTACCTCGTTACCATGGTGGCTGACTTGATCTCCAACAGCTCGGGCCGCAGTTCAGAGCCGCTCAAACGACTTTTCCTCCCTTTATCCTCTACCAGAAAGGCACGAGCATAACCAGATGGCCGACGACAGGCAAGCAGGCAAGTACAGAAAACAAACTGTTCCCGATGACTAACTATTAGCCGATGCTTCCAGTGTCACAACATCTCATTACCATTGATCAGTGACCGAGCTAGAAAGGAGCTCTAGTTACGACCAAGGCTGTCATAATTCACAAACACCCCCCTTTTCCGTTCGTGGGTCGTGGTCCCCTGGGACAGAGCTGTAAGCCCCTGCCTCTAGTCTTCCTCCCATATGGAGTACATCTTTTTAGATCATATAACCTGGCTCCCACTCCCTCCAAGTCCACCGACCCTACATCCGCTCCCGGCTTTTGGTATATCCACCACAATGCAAAAACTGCAACAAAGATCATCGCTCCCATGCAATGATACACTCCGCCTGCTGCCGCTGCCACATGCTTCCTTTCCTCTTCATTAACCCGTCTCTGCCACATAATAGTCGCTGGATGCCATTTGCACTCACTACTCCAACCTCCCGAAAACAAATCATCAGGCCTATTCGTGACAAAACGCCATGATCCGAACCCAACGCCCGACCACGCCAAAACAAGAGGAAAACACAGCGCTGAGCATCCAGTCTATCACACGCAACCGACAGAAAAAAAATCTTACACAGGCCTTATCCAGATCAACGCAAGTAAGGCAGGACTCACATGACCACGCACTCGCGGTCAGGGACGGCCTCCTTGTCCGCAGCAGTATCTTTGGATCCCTTGCCCTTCTCCTTCGCCTTCTTCTCTTCCTTTTCCCGGCTCTTGGACTTATTCCGCTCCCTCCTATGATAATGGTGATGGTGATCCTTCCCCCTATCTTCGCTATTAGCCGCTTCATCGGCCTCACTGAGCGCCCCTTGTTCATCTGCCCCTCCCTCAGAGCTGAGACGATTAGCACCGGTCCCTCCGTTAGGTAGTTCCTTGCTCGTCCGTTGAAAGCCTAGCCTCGGGATAGAGAAGCTCATCCTCCCGTCACTGGCCTGGCTGGTGGCACGGGACTTGCTGCTGGATTTGGTGAACCTCGCGGCAGCACGTGAGAGCCTGGTTCCAGTGCTCTCGTCTTGCGGTGTCATGACTGGAGAGGTAGTCTCGGTGCTGACACCGGATGGGTGGGCTGCGGGCTCAGAGAACGAGATGCTGGCGCGCCTCGAGTTGCCCGGATCTGGTTGTTGAACAGCTGCATCCGAACCATCGTCAAAACTGAGTCGCACTGGCCCTTCGACCTCAGAGCTAAGGCGAATGTCGGGAGCACCAGCTGGGAGCGTTGTCGTCGAGTCGAAGTAGCCGCTAGCAGACCTCGAAATGGCGTTGGAAGGCTCGACTGCCGTCTCAACGCTCGGGGTTCCTGGTACAGTCGTAGCAGTTTCGAGGTAGGAAGGGGGTTCCGTTACAGACCCGTCGGTCGACGCGGCCGTTACGTCGACCATTGGGACGATCTGGTAAAAGAGAAGGTAGGGCATCTCTTCCCGAAGAGATTGCCTGATATCGTCCACATAAGTCACCCTCTTCTCTACCGCCAGATCGTCGAATTTGGCCCACTGCGCCTCCTCGTAGTCTGGAGGTGGATCATGATCGTGTCTCCGGTTATCGGTCAAGAGCTTCGGAGCAACCCGAGCAAAGGCGACATAGTGGCCACTGTGAAGTGAATCGCCACGGTGGCAGACCACTGACTGTAACACAAGCTTGTATTCCTGACTCAGTCCGCTTGAGGACTGTTCTGAGTTGACATCGTCCACGACCATGAAATGTGGGAGTCGCAAACTGTCGGGAATATCGATAAGGGTGTTGTGCCGTTTCGGGACGCCCTGTTCTGTCATTGTATATCTCTTCAAGCAGATACCCACAATAGGGCGTTGGTTAAAATGTCGGGCAACCTCCACATCGTTTCTGGGCTCGTTGTTCGACGCGGCATGCCAAGCTAGCTTGAGATTTAGCCCAAAGCTTTATTTTGATAGAGAAATAAGGAACACTAACGTATTAACCGAAAGAATTGCCAGGCAGGGATCGTTACTGCCTTGACCACAGTTGAGCCGGTACGCTTCGCTCGCTGAAGCAAGCTCATCGTCTCTGGGTCTCGGGGATGCCCTTCGCCATCCACGACAAATCGCTGTATGATGCTCGTTGACCTCGTACGGGAAGCTGTCGGTGCGTCAAAGCTTGGCGACGCCGGACCGGATACGGACACTGGCGATTGCGTAATGGGCTCCGTCGAGCTGCGTTGCAGCTGGGTAACCGCGGCATCCCTACGAGGTGTTTCAACTTCCTCCTCGGAAACAACGCGAATTGTGCTCCTTGGAGTCAAGCCGAGCTTGTCCCCGCCCTTCTTCTCCTCCCAGCTATCCCGGAGGACATCAACCTTGGTATTGAAGTACTCTTCCAAGCAGTCTTCAAGATTGATACCTTTTCCCTCGGGGTCAGGCGGAACACCGAGGTTCAGTAACCTTTCATGGACGACTTTGTGGTCATCTGCGTCCCCTTTCCCTTGGTGGAAAAGGTCGACCTGGAGTGCGAGAAGAGGCAACTGCAACGTCTCGGTTATAAACGCGAAGGCCTCGGATGTGTCTTGTTGTTCAAGAAGTTGCGCATCCTTCCAACCACATGCAGCAAGAGTCTCTTGTATGTGTTGTGTCTATGGAGCCAGGGTTAGCCTTAAGTAACCGAAGGCAAAGCGGACGGGGCGCACCATATCCGTGTGGATCAGCTTCCCACTCCTCAACATGTTGACCCATAGCCTAAGGAGAGTAGCTAGCTTGTTTTGAGACTCGTCTGCAAAATCATTCTTCAGCATGCACTCGAAGGCCGTTAGCTTGGCGAACATGGCGAAGAGTAAGGCATCCAAATAGCAGGTGACGTTTCCCCTATTTTCGGCGCCTAGCATTTCGACATTAGGGTTGTAAGGTTGTATTATTCCAGCAAAGGCTTTTTGTTGGAGTTGTAGAAGTTCGACAGCTTTGTCCGGATCGCCCCCGGCGAACTTAGAATTCAGCGCATACCGGATGCCTTCTTTCGATATTTCGTGATAGTTTAGTTCCTGCAGGCGCTTGGCTATCTCGTCGATCTGCACAACGTATTAATATCAATCAGATATCGCACCTTCTTTGGCCTACCTTTGCAGCCTCTTTCTCTTCTTCTTCCCTTTCCTTCTGGGCCTGTTTTGAGTCGAACTTGAACAAAGAGAGGAAGGAGTCGGCGGTTAGGGGCCGTGCCTAGCAGACGGTCAACAAGGAGGGAGAGGCCCAATAACGACGATAAGTCCACAGACCTTGGCGCCGTTTTCGGAGGATTTATTTCGACGGTGAGTGCCATTTTTGTCTCGCACGCTGCGGAACTTCTTGGGCATCATCAGCGAAGCGGCTTTCATCCTGTCCGTATCGCGGGGCTACGTGAAAGGTTGGTATGCAAGGATGCCGTGAGAGGTGGGGGATATCGAAAGTCAGGGTAGTAAGTCTTTGAATAGATCTCGGGACATGATCCAAGGATAGCGTTGAGGCGGGGCTGAATTCAGCGATGCGAGAACGAGCGGCAACTGCAAAAGGGTATCATAGCAATCGGGCTGGAAAGGCGTTCGTTGTAGAAACAATCGGGACGAGGCAGGGAAAGCGGATCGGTTTTGAGGAGCGAAGAGTGGTTGACGAGCACAGAGGGGTTGCAGAGACGGCGCGTTCCAGATAAGTCTGGAGCTTGCTGCTCTGAGGGGTCGCACTGCTGCTGCCTCTCGCTACTCAGGGCGACCTCAGTTGGTTGCGCAAGCGTCAACGTCAAAGCACGGCAGACAAAATTGTGCAATGTGTGGTGTGATATGTAAGGTTACGCGAGAGAATGGAGCTGTGGTGGGAGCCTGGCCGTTGTCGAAGGCCAGCTGGGAAGAGGAAGGTGTCCCAAGACCCAGGTACCTAGGGGGTGGTCAACAATCCCTTGGAGGGTACTCCGTACCTACACGTGGAAAGAGGGGCCCGAGGAAGTGGCCGTCCCCGCCACTCCAAGACGCCAAGACGGACTGATTATCCACTAGGTATCAGTGCCACTCCGATCTGAACATCAGTGGACCGCTGCAGAGCGGCAACCCTCTCAAACTGCAGTGGCAGTGGCACAGATCGTTTCTACACGTGTAACCTTGCGGCAACAACATGTTCCAGAAGAGCAATGATACCCTTTCAGTCCCAAGCTCAGTTCCTAAGACGACATGCCATCTTTCATCCAGTACCTTAACGGTTGACTCCAAGTTCGTCAGTCAATCCCACTTAACAAAGTATATTACAACCACGCAGTTGTGCTGGCCCACTCAGAAACATTCACTTCACTTCCCAACGTCGACCCAACCAGTGTATAAGTGTATGTAGGCAATTAATGTAATTACTGCGGCCCTTCAAGTCGAGCCGGTGGTTTGGGAATTTGGCTGGATCTGCGTTGCGGAGATCCTTGCCCCACATTTCTCTGTTGGTGGGATACGGTGATACTGTGTTGAACAGCTCAGTAGACTACAATGTCCATCTTCGTGGCATGTCCATGAGCTGACGTTTCCAATGACGTTTATCTGGATGAGGTTCTTTACGAGTTCTCAATGCTGCCAGAGGCAGATGCTGCACCGCAGTTTGCTATTGGATGGCGTGTATCGGTTTAAAAAGCAGCTGCCTACACTACAAACCCCAAAGCGACATACGCTAGGGAGGCTACCATAAAGGCTACGGTACCTGTAGATTATTTAACCCGGAAGCTCCTCATGCACTGACTGCGACTCGCCTCCAGAATGCCCAAGTTCCATCAAATCCTTAGGTACGGAACAGTTGAATTAGCGAGGGTAGTTACGGCGCCGGACCCACAGACCCGGCCAGCCCGGCCGGCGGGGCCAATGGCGCCGTGTCCGGGCGCCTAAAAATAAGCGCGAGAGGTACGGAGGTACTTCGCAACAACTGACGTCGCAGTGGCTCCTTGAGCGCTTTTCGATACACGAACCTTGAAGATCAGTGAGATTCTGAGTTGTTGATTCCAAAGCAATGTTTAGGTGACCTAAGATGTGATTATCGCGCGGCTTGTTATGGGCAGGCCAGGTGATTATAGTCCTGAAGCCGGCGCAATCACTATTGTAGCTCACGTATGTCATTTTCGCAGTTCTTACATAGCAGCTCTGTGCCTTTCTGGTTTCCATATGACGTACCTCCATGGATTGATAGAGCACGGTCCTGTGCTTGAGGTCTGTTGGACACGGTCAAGCCACCTCCAGATTTGATCAGCCACCGAGGCCGTACGGATAACGTTAGACTGTTTTCTGCCCTCCGCATTCTCCACACTCCGTGTACCCACCTCGGCCGAGGGTACCGATGAGCCTCGGCAAGGACAGCTCATGGCACCACCCCCCTTAACTTCCACAAGGAAGGAAGCATGGTTCAACACAAACCCAAGTACTTCAGACATTAATCGCCAGCGACACAAGTCCCCATCTACTTTGGTCGGACTGTGAAACAACACCATTGCATTTCTGCAGCAGTTTTCTCGAACTCGTATCGCTGAAGAGCAACTAAAAAGATGTCGTCCCAAATCCCAATTGCTGTATGATGCCATTGTGCAACACACCAACCTCATGGATCATCCTAACTAAGTTGCGCCTACAGGTTCGTGACCGCGTGAGCGCCCGAGCAAAGGAGACATTGGACATTGTTGCCAAGTTTGTGGAAGAAGATTGCATCCCGTAAGCCCAATATTGAACTTAGTACTTGTCCCATGCTTATTGTCTAATAAACCCACCAGCGCCGATACCGTCTTCGAAGCCCAGATAGGGGTCGGGGATGCGAGATGGCAGGCATATCCTCGGATCCTTGACGACCTCAAGAAGAAAGCCCGCTCCCTGGGCCTGTGGAATATGTTCCTCCCCAAGGGTCACTACAAGGAGTCGCCGGGCTTCACCAATCTTGAGTATGGTCTGATGGCCGAGTGGCTCGGCAAGTCGAGAGTCGCGTCCGAGGCCGTCAACTGCGCTGCTCCGGACACGGGCAACATGGAGGTGCTGGCCAAGTATGGCAACGAGGCTCAAAAGGCTCAGTGGCTCAAGCCGCTCATGGAGGGCGAGATCCGGTCAGCCTTCCTGATGACGGAGCCGCAAGTGGCATCGTCTGATGCAAGGAATATCGAGATGAAGATTGAGAGAGACGGCGACTATTACGTTTTGAACGGTCAGGTACGATGGGACAACCACCTGCGAGCGCGCAATGTGGAACTGATTGGATATTTTGCAGAAATGGTGGTCGAGCGGTGCTGGCGACCCGCGCTGCAAGATTTACATCGTCATGGGTAAGACCGATCCCAAGAACAAGGACCCCTATCGGCAGCAGTCCGTTATTCTGGTGCCCGCAGGAACCAAGGGCATCACGATCCATCGCATGCTTTCCGTCTACGGCTACGACGACGCTCCTCATGGACACGGCCACATCACCTTCCACAACGTCCGTGTTCCAGCGAGCAACTTGGTGCTCGGGGAGGGCCGCGGTTTCGAGATCATCCAGGGCCGCCTGGGCCCTGGTCGCATCCACCATGCCATGCGGACGATTGGCGCAGCCGAGAGGGCTCTGGAATGGATGCTCATGCGCATCAACGACCCCAAGAAGACGCCATTCGGCAAGCAGCTGCGGGAGCACGGTGTTATTCTGGAATGGGTAGCCAAGTCACGGATCGAGATCGATGCTGCCCGCCTCATCGTGCTCAATGCCGCAATCAAGATGGACGAGCAAGGGCCTAAGGCCGCGTTGACAGAAATTGCCCAGGCCAAGGTTCTTGTTCCCCAGACAGCGCTGACGGTCATTGACCGTGCAGTCCAGTCCTTTGGCGGCGCTGGCGTCAGCCAAGATACCCCCTTGGCCGGTATGTGGGCTCAGATCAGGACCCTGAGGTTGGCGGATGGGCCAGATGAGGTCCATCTGCAGCAGATGGGGAGGAACGAGAATCGGCGTGGCAAGGCGGTTGCGGCGAAGATCAACGCGCAAAAGACGAAGGCGGAGGAGCTCATGAAGCAACATGGCGCGAGGTTGACGGAACTCGGGTCCAATATCCAGACCAAGCTCTGAGTTGGTTGGAGATACGCAACGAGCCATCAGCGTCGCAGGTTCTTCAGATTGACGCCAAGGTTAAGCGATCAAATCTCTGGAATGCCTTGAAATGACCTTTGCCAACCACGTGCCAACAGCGCGTGACTTTTGGAATCGTAGTCACTGCTGTCACAGAAGTGGGCGCGCTCCAAACCTGCTTCCCGCCTTTCGTGTACCTGATACTACCTTGTAATACAGTTACGACATGTATTTGTAGTCGGGGCAACTTCCTTAACATGTGCTCCAGGAATGGCTCTCATATGCGTTCTTGAGCCTGGTCATCCATAGTCTTGGGGCTCAATCCAATGGGCGGCGCCTGACGGTTAGGGGACATGCGGCCGTCAATCTTGTCTCTGTCGCCGCGTATAGAGTCACTCTTGCGGGGCCGGTCTCGTCGTGAACATGTCCTGGAGCACAGAACCTCTCGACCGGAACGTCGGAACTCGATTGCTTGAACTTCGATATCGACGTCGGAACAACACAAGATAGCCATAAACCTCCAAATGATGCAAATGAACATCCCATTCCCTAATGCTGCAATATGGGGAGTGTTTTCATCACCCCACCAGGAACCAACCAGGACTCCGGGACCTAGCATTCATAGCCGACGTCTGACCGTCCGATCCGTTGCCATTGGGTTCACTATCCGGTTTTCCCTCGTAACCGAAAATGTTAAAAATCGCTTGTCCTTTATTTAACCGTACCGCGCCAGACTTAAGCAACCAGTTCAACAACACCACCAGCTTCCGTGACCTTGCGTTCCGCCTCCGCGCTTACGTACCGCGCCCGGACGACGACGGGGATCTCGGGGAGCCGGCCTGGTATATTCTGTTAGTTGCATTGTCTTCTCTCCCAGCCCCATAGACGCCCGATCCTTACCCTTGCCGAGGAGCTTAGCATAGCCGTGGGACAGAAGGTCGATAACGGGAGCGGAGTCGGTCTTGGCGCCGCTGATGTACTTCTCCCGGGTCTCGGCGGGGACGAGGGACCAGAGCTTCTCGATGTTGATGGTAGGGGCCCATTGGTGATTCCGGAGAAGGTGGAAGTCTAGCCGAAACGTCAATCCCAATTGTCCTATTGCCATCTTGACTCATCGCGCGGATACATACGTCTCATGCCGACCTTTCCGAAGTAACCAGGATGGTCTGTCCAAAGTTGTCAGCCGAATTCACCGAGCAGATTCGAAAGCAGTAGGCCAAATCTCCCAGGAGCCCTCGAGATCCCCCGCGACCCCCAGGAATGGCCCGTGTATGCAGAGGTATGGGTTGCGTACACTTATCGAGGTTGGTGCGGTGGTGGTGCTTTTCGCCGGGTTAGTGTGCGCCTTTCGAATCGGAAACCGTCATCCTCGTACCTGACCACCGGCCATACCGCGACCACTAGAGAAGTGTCAGTTTGTTGAACTCATCGCTCCAATTTTGGTAGTATTCCGTACCCCGGGTGCTTCCTGTGCTTGCCGACACGACTGGAAAATGGTTTCGTCAACACATTTCGAATATAATCGGTCGGTTCGTCGCAACATACCCCTTACCGGCGGACACCTGGAAGAGCACAAATGTCAGCGTCACGGACGTAGAGCAGGGAAGTGATTCGGGAGCGCATACATGGCCGCGGTGCTTTCTTGTCTTGGAAAACCGGGTAGGCTGCGACAGTCAGCATTTCCAGTACCAAAGTATTCCGGTCAATTGGCATACCATGGTGGCTGCTGGTTAGTGTCGATGAAGCTCGAATTGTCGACGGTGATGCTTCCTCGAGACTTGTATTTCGGGTCCCGCCGCACGAATTTAGGGCTGGGTAATTTTTTTGGTGGGCGCAGATGGTGAGTTGGCCGGGCCCGAAATTTAACCGGCTCACCACGCCCTTCTCTAACAGGGGTTAGGGTTAAGCCAATGTTGTGACCAAGGGCCAAGGCTTCCTTTTTAGGCTTTGTCAGCCTCGCAGCTCCAACCTTCCCGCCGCAGAGGGTAGCAGATCTTCGATTGCAAGCAGCATCATTTTACATTTCATTTGATCGGTTCCTGTCTCTGCCCTCAATTTGCTCTTATCCTCACGTCTCGATCAGGTAACACGGATCGCTCAAGGGTGTGAGGAGTGAAGGCTGTTGTTCGTGCTTAACCAGCTGTGGGGGGAACTACACTGATGCGCAGCATGGTAACGAAATATGTCTCGTTCATTCACTAGAAGCTCGGATGAGCATTATGGCGGTGGCGCCTTGGAGTGCTCGGGTGTGCGTCTGGACTCCGCCAACGAACTAGTCGCCCGGGTTGAGATTCCTCTCCTCAGAGAACTTGCTGTACTAGCTCGAGCAAATTAAAGAACGCCTCGCCATTACCCTCAACCTTTTCTAGGCCCAGCCCTAAGAGTAGGGTCCTTCGCTCATTAGGGTCGCGCAAGGCCAGATGACTGGCAATCTGGCTCGCATAAAGGTGGCCTAGAGTTTCCCGTTCCTCTCCGCCAACCCCAACAAGCGTTTTGGGAGTCAAATGGTTTGACGGAAGTGCGCTCAGGCCGGCACCGGGTAAAGCCATGTCCACGGAGGCCGATGAGGGGGCTGAGAGGGGGACCTGGATCTGGAGTCAAGGTTAGAGGGTAAGCTTGATGCACGGCAGGAGTTAACCCACCCATTGGGCGAGGCGGCCGCCTTGCGAGACTGTAATCATGATCTTGTCCGAGAAACTGAGCGATTCGACCTCCGTTGCAACCCCGTTGATTGTTCCTGTAGCTCTCCTTGACGGAGCTGGAAATGGCTCCGTGCGGACCTCGGAGTCACCATTCATGGTAAAGAGGACTTCACAGATGAAGTGTCAAATTGTTGGCTTGACTAAGTTGAGAAACTGGGGGCAAGGAGGGAATGTGTTAACTCAACCCAATCCTAAGCACTGAAACTGAAAGCTACGAAACTAGGATAACGATACAGTATTTCAAGGAGACTCAATTCAAGACCGGAGGGAAAAAGGGACACTTTCCATACTTGACGATGTGTAGGTTGAGATCGCGAATATAAGAAACAAAGTAATACATCGAGATCCAACAGAAATGGATAAACCACTCTTTTAGACGGCCTGGGCTCTCCATACGTTGCACGATGCCTCTCGAGTCCCAACCCCCAAGTCATGATGGGTCACGGGTGGAGTCCGCGAACGGGCACTTTTATCAGAAGCTTGGCGCAGGGGTTTCCATTGGCGGGGTGGGCTCAGCGGGGCAATCTCCAGAATTCTGCCGGGCGGACGAGATTTCAATTCGGAACGATTTCTGGATCTTCCTCCAGCAGACGGGGCGCTTTCTCAACCCCGCAACAATGGCTACGACAAAGAGATTTGTGCCTCGGCAACGCAAGCGCAAGGTTCTTGATCGACAGAGGGCGCAGGGAAAAAGGGCAGCTCACGATGATGTCGATTCGAATGCGCTCGAAATCACGCCGGCCCAGCAGGCTGAGGCTGAGCAGAGAAAGGCCAAGCTCCGTGAGGAGTTGAGGCCTGAGGGGAAGGTCAGCAGCAAGAAAGCTAAGCGGCTCGAGAAATATATCGAAACGAAGCTCAAGAAAGATGAGAATCGGGAGTTGCTGGCCAAACTTGCCGCCAGCACAATCGACACAAGCTTGTTGTCTAGCAGTCGAGCGCTTGGCCAGACTAGAGAGACGAAGAGGGAGGCCCTGCGGCGCACTCTAAAGGAGCAAAATGCCGGTCTTAGATTGGACAGTTCAAGCGCAGATCTTCTTTACCAACCTAGAACAGTTGGTGCTTATGGAGAACCATCGCGGGATGAGCAATCTGACGACTCAGGGTCTGACGAGCAGGGCCTGGCTGGGAAGGTTCCCACTGAGGAGCCTCACCAGCCGCCGGCACAGGTACAACCTGGCCCTACGGCTGCAGTCGGGTCTGGCTTGAAGCGTCCGCTAGAAGTTGACGAGTCGGGTCGACCTGTTCTCGCGAAACGGCAAAAGCGGGGAGGTGTCAAGACAAAGCGCCCATATGCTGCGCCATTAGTACTGGAGGAACCAGATTCTGAGGAGTGGAATGGGTTCAGTTCTGAGAATGACGGACGACCAGGTCGAAGCGCTGAAGATTCCGATGATGGCGCGGATGGCAGTGATGGCAGTGATGGCAGCATGGGCGATTCAGACGACGACATAAGTGAGGATGACGAGCAGAACGGAGATAGTTCAGGAGATACCGAAGAACCCGAATCCTCCGACGACACCGATGATTCATCACGACGAAAATCGAAAGAAAGATCTTCGGCCTTCAAAGCTTGGGCGCACCAACAGCGAAACGAAGCTCTGGGATACAAGCCGGTTGACTCGGGTCCCCTGGTGATACCCAAGCCCGAAAACTTTACTCCCCGACCGATCGAACAAGACCCGCTGCCGATTGAACTGCAACCGACGACAAACACTACGAGGAAAGCATACACTGTAGGAGTTACCAGGGACCCCGACATCCAGGAGGCTCGCTACCGACTGCCCGTGGTGGCTGAGGAGCAAAAGATCATGGAAGCCATCCATAACAATGATGTAGTTGTTATCTGCGGTGCTACCGGTTCCGGTAAAACAACACAGGTGCCTCAGTTCCTGTTCGAAGCCGGCTACGGAGCACCGGACGGCCCGACCCCAGGCATGATCGGGGTGACACAGCCTCGACGAGTGGCGGCTGTCAGTATGTCAAAACGTGTAGCTCAAGAGCTGGGAAGTCATTCCTCCAAGGTGGCTTACCAGATCCGGTTTGAGGGTACCGTGGATCCCAACACGGCCATCAAGTTCATGACAGACGGTGTGCTCCTTCGGGAGGTTGCCCAAGACTTCGTCCTTCGCAAATACTCTGCGATCATCATTGACGAGGCGCACGAGAGAAGTGTGAACACCGACATCTTGATTGCAATTCTCAGCAGGGTAGTCAAGCTAAGGGCTGATATGACAAAAGAAGACCCATCTGTCAAACCTCTGAAGCTTGTCATTATGTCCGCGACACTGAGGGTGGAAGAGTTCACTCAGAACTCCAAGTTATTCCGCAGCCCCCCGCGGGTTCTGGACGTGGAAGGGCGTCAACACGAGGTGACAATTCATTTCGCTCGAAAAACGCGGCATGACTATGTGGAAGACGCTTTCCGGAAAATCAGCAGGGGCCATAGAAAGCTCCCGCCAGGAGGCATGCTGGTGTTCCTGACAGGACAGGGCGAGATCTCGCAGCTAAGCAAAAAGTTGAAGGCCGCCTTTGGGGGTATGGGTTCGGCGACCAGACCACAAGTCCGAGTGTCGGCAAGCGAAGTCCCTATAGAGGCCGAGGACATCGATTTTGGGGAAGTTGATGACCGAAATGCAAATGACATGGATGATGAGATTTATTTCGACTCTGGCGATGAGGAGGAAGAAAAGGAGTTTGAAATCGAAGACGAAGAGCCGGGGACAGGTCCGCAACGGATGCACGTTCTGCCTCTTTATTCTCTGCTTCCGACGAAAGAGCAAATGAAAGTCTTTGAACCGCCTCCAGAAGGGTCCCGGCTCGTTATCCTGGCCACCAACGTCGCCGAGACCAGTCTGACCATCCCTGGCATCCGCTATGTGTTTGACTGCGGAAGGTCAAAGGAGCGGAGATACGATCCGGTGAGCGGCGTTCAAAGTTTCGAGATTGGCTGGATTAGCAAGGCAAGTGCAAAGCAGCGTGCTGGTCGTGCCGGCCGTACGGGCCCGGGCCACTGCTGGAGGCTGTATTCATCGGCCGTCTACGAGAGGGATTTCCCGGAATTTGCGGACCCGGAAATTCTCCGGATGCCCATCGAAGGGGTGGTGTTGCAGCTAAAAGCCATGAACCTACAGCATGTTGTCAACTTTCCCTTCCCGACCTCCCCGTCTAGGGATAGCCTTGTCAAAGCCGAGAAGCTTCTTGCTTATTTATCAGCTATATCACCCGAAGGCAAGATCACAGATGTGGGATCCACCATGTCCATCTTCCCGCTGGCGCCGCGCTTCGCCCGGATCTTGCTTGTCGGACACCAGCACGGTTGCCTGCCGTACACCATTGCTTTGGTCGCTGGAATGTCTGCTGGCGAGATTTTTGTCCCGGAGAACCAGGCCATCCCTGAAACCGCCGAGCAAACCGAAGAGTTTCTCACAAACGAAGACGTGCTTGCGGAAGACAAGCGGGCAAGGATACGCAAAGCCTTCAACGCGGTTCACAAGAATTTTTGCTCCCTTGACGACAAATCAGACGCGATTAAGCTACTCCAGGTCGTTGGCGAGTTTGCCCATGAGCCCACCGAGGCCTGGTGTGAGAGCCACTTTGTCCGATACAAAGCCCTCAACGAGGTCAGCAAGCTGCGGTCCCAACTCGCCAACCTCCTCAAAACCCACATCCCTAGCCACGCCAACCTCAGTATCCCCGACAAACTAGACAAGCCATCGGAGAAGCAGGTCCAGGCCCTGAAACAAATGGTAGCGGCAGGCTTTATCGACCAGATCGCCATCCGCGCCGACAAGGCACCCAACCCGCCGGAGATGCACCGCAAGCCGGGCCGCGCCATCGACGTTCCCTATATCCCTCTGCTCCCTCTAGAAGGCGGCAACGGCCCGGAGGACAAGCTGGTTTACATCCACCCTTCGTCGCCGCTGGCGCACCTCAGCGTCAAGGAGTGCCCCGAGTATGTCGTGTATTCGCACCTGCAGCGTGCGGGCAACACGGGCGCGGACGGCTCCAAGAGGGCCAAGACGCGGATGCATGCCCTTACAGACCTGACGGGCGCGCAGGTCGCGGCGGTGGCCAAGGGCACGCCGCTGATCAGCTACGGCAAGCCGATCAAGGAGGTGGTGGTCAAGGACGCCAACGGCAAGGAGGGCGACACAAGAGAGGTCTGGGTGGTGCCCTACCTGAGGGCCGAGACGGGCGGCGGGCTGGGGTGGCCGTTGCCTGTCAGGAAGATAACGCAGAAGAAGGTGTGGGGTAAAGGTTGGGTTGCTGAATCGTGATGGCAGGGCCACGGGCCAGGGAGTGTACTTGTCAAGGTATAATAGATTTGGCTAACAGTTTTACCTACCGATACCCGTACATATGAATTCGATATTCTAATGGTAACGGTTACATATTGGAAATCGAGATATCATGTTGCCGAGATGCGATGCTAGTAGTAGTACGGCACTCATCGTAAACATGAATGTACTGTCTCCCTTCCAATTTTTGAATATCCAGGGAAAGTAAGGACCGGGGAACACATCATGTAACATGTATGAAGGTATGAGACGATAAAGCCAGATTACCAGTATCTTTCACTTGGGGGGGTTCCTAACACCATATATTCGCCGATCTTTGAATTCTGCTGCCGAGATTGGATCCTATTTGCTCCCCATTCTTCAGGCTGTGTATATCAATTCAAATCCTGTCCAGGAGCCTGGCTATTAGAGCTCTTGGGTAGTCCTATCCGTTGTTTCATATCTCCCTCATTATTCCATGTCCTCTCGCTGTCCGGGATTGCCCAGTTTCTCATCCATGCCATCTGCAAAACTTCGTTGGCGCTGGGGCGGTCCTCCGGCCGGAACGCAAGCATCCGCCATAGCATCTCGAAGAGAGCATCCTGCTCCTCCTCTTCAAGAATATCCAATCCACTCCGACGACGGGGGTCTTGGATATCCCTCTCAAGCCGCTGGTTCCACGACCACGCTTCACAGCTCTCTTTAGGCTGCCCATCTTCAGTATAATATTTGGACCGTGCGTCCCACTTCTTCCACCATTCCGGTGGCAATGGGCCAAGGGCCTCAATTTGATCGCTCGTGATATCATCCTCTGTGCAGAGCCAGCCGTCAAATAGCGGTCTTAGACCGAGGATTTCCCAGATGGCACACGCCAGACTCCATATATCGGATGAGAAGGAAAGAGGCGTTGTCACGTCAAACCGGGCTTCTGGTGGCCGGATGGGGAGCGGGGAGTAAGATTTGAATCTTGATTCTTGCGCGGGGCGAAAGGCCACCCCAAAATCTGTGAGAAGAATCTTTGCTTGGGCCAGTGTGATATGCTCGCTTATCTTCCCAAGCCAGACTGGGGGAAAGACGTGTGAGGGCACACCTGCCGAAAGTGACTCTCCGTCGGCCCTGACGACGGGTTGGGGATCAGGGTGTCCAAATTCCTCATACAGCTGCGAGGTTGAGAGGAGGTCGAGTCTCCATGGAAATTGAAGAAGGATATTACCTAGGTGAAGGTCTAGATCCCCAGGTAGTCAGAAAGATTGATTCAATCCCAGACCACGACATTGTGCTGGCCCAGATAAGGGTCATCAACACAAAACGAAGGTTGATGACGCGAGCCAGGACTCACCACCATGCACATAGCCATTGTCGTGAATGAATGCCACCGCCATAGCGACTTGGGCAGCCATAGATCGGGCAACATCAAGCTGGAACATTCCGTCAGGGAAGGTTGATGCCTCCTTCGCGTCCGCAAGACTGCATCTTGCTGGAGAGGTAACGAGACAAGGATGGGTCCCGTTTGGCCCGTCAAGGGTAAATCGATCAAATACCGGAGTGATCAGTTTATTGCCTCGTTGGTCTTGTTTTCGGCACGCAGGACTGGCGAGCTCAGCAAGAATATCGGCCTCCTTATGGTCCGAGTAGGCCGTGCCTACTTTGATAGCGACATACTTTGACAGTTGCTCATCCTTCGCAAGCCAAATCGTCGAGAAGGAACCATGGCCAAGTTTGTGCACCACGCCGTATCGGTTATGAAGATGGTCACCTACTTGGATTGGGTGGTATCCCCCAGGCCGGTAAACGTCGAGTCTCTCAACATCGTCAACTGGCTCATAAAGGATAGGATGTACTGTTGACATCTTGATTTCTGAGCTGCGGGGAAGGTGCGAAGGGAATGTTGTACGACGCTGAACGCAGAGACTGAGCGGGAGGAGCCGCCCTACAGACCTGAGAGGAAACCAGGAGGCCATAGCTACCGACGTAAGCAGTAGTGAATAGAGAAGGAGGATCAAAGCGAGTTCCAGCGTATTTGCCACTGGTCTTGGTTATGTGACGAACGAGTCAGGAAGGCGCTATCGGTATCACAGATGCTTCAAGTTGATGCTTTTTGTGATTGACGTCGGCAGGGTAACGGAGTCATAGAAGTTAGAACGAACGGCAGTACTTTGTAAAGAGTGACTCAAAGTTCGGATTGAATTTCATTTATATCTTAACTCTATATAGCTCCTTCCTTCTCCGTTGACACACTGTATCGCTCCTGCCTCGTCTGATTCAGTGAGGTACCTAGAGTTGTCAGGCTCTGAGCCAATGCCTCAAGTAGGAGCTAGGAGTCCTACTAGTATAGCGCTTCGAGTCCTACTAGGTACACCGTACCAGCAACCAATTCCCCTGCCAGCAAGCATCAAGGATCCCAGCATTTCATCCAATCCATCCAGCCGTTGGAGAAGTCAAAGCTGAAATTTTCCTCAGACAAGCCCCTTAACCCTGACACAGCTCAATGGTGCACTTCTCGCCGGGCTTGGTGCAGTACCCGCAGCTTTCGTTGCAGCAGACCTCGCCAACAGCACAAAACTTATTGGCGCCGCACTTGGGGCCGAGGCAGAGCTCGTCGGTGCAGCCCTGGCCGGGCTTGGTGCAATAGCCGCAGCTCTCGTTGCAGCAGACCTCGCCGAACGCGCACGTGTTGGGCCCGCATTGTGGTCCGAGGCACGCCTCCATCGTGCAAGCCTCTCCGGGCTTGGTGCAGTACCCGCAGCTGGCGTTGCAGCATGATAGACCTTCGGCACACACGGTCGGACCACAGACTTGGCGGGTGGTCAGTTCGGAGCGTGGCTCGACGGGGCCCGCGGCGACGCCCATAGCGAGTATGGTGGCCGAGAGGAAGGCGACGATGACAGTTCGGAAGACGGCCATGGTGGTTCTTTGAGACGAGAGGACTGTATATGACTAGGAAGTTATCTCGTCGTGTGGTCCGAGGTTGTTGGACTTCTTGGGGAAGGGCTGGATTCTCAGGGTCGATATTTGGCTGTATGACTGAGTGTGACGGTTCGGGCTCGATATCGAAAGCTCCAAGCTCTGGATTCCTCTGAGAGAGGATTGGATGAGGCTCAGATATATGAATGCTTCCCGTCTGCAATGAAATGCGGTTTTGATTCCCTTGCTTCCCCAACGGGTAAACTCCTGTCCGAGGCTTACCATCATGTACATCATTGAAACAACGCCACCGTGTGCAAGGTGTTGAGAGGAGCACCGAGTAGGACACGGAATTGGCTGAATACCACGGAAGTCGGTCGCCGAGGCTCGTATTCGAGATCATATTACGTGGACACTTTGGCGAACGGATGATACTGAGCACCGCAGTGAGCAGGGTCTACTCGTCTATTAGCGCAACCATACTTGTCAAACAAGGGGTTCTGCAACCACCGTTCACAGCATTTTGTACCCTGCGGTCATTACTCTAGCCCTTGGTCTTACTTTTCAGCATGACGAGGTACGTATATGATAACCATTTTGAGGCTCTTAAGCTTAGTTTACTACTATGTTATATCAAAGTGCTACCTCCAGACTTCGGAGGCCGAATTCCTCGGTGGTAAGCAGAGCACGGATCGCCCGGATGAATCGGCGACGGGGTGTTGGCGAGCTTACATGAAGTAACATCTTGTCTCTGGCGGGTAAAGCTGTAGAGGATGCTCAAAGATTCAAGATGCTGGCAGATAGACGGGCACGCTCAAGTTCAGGGAGTTTGGAGTCTCAAAACTGTCGGGAGAGTAATGAAATGTAGAATGCTTTCGTGTTATCTGATACTAGTAGCTATGAGGAGTGTTATAGACGACGGGCGACGGACCGAAATCCAGCTTGGACAGTGTAGACAAAAAGGGAACGCCGACTTGGGTATAAATAGCCATCACAATAGGCAATGAGCCAATTAAAGTACATACAGCGATGCTACCAATCCCCAGTTTGCGCAGAGCGGACCACCCCTAATTCGAGTTCCTATTCAATCAATGCCTGTTGAGGGTGTCTCCCCTTCAACCCTTACAAGCAAGCAATGGCCCAAGACTAAGTCAGGGCACAGATCAAGCTTTTGCCAGTTGATTCATCCAGAGAACAGAGCTGGGCCTGGAATTGTGTAGCTCTTGAGCGTAGTGTAAGGGTTGAGGTAGATGCCGGGGTCCGTGTTCTTGTACAGCTGGGTTCCCAGCACCCCCGTCGGGTTGGCGGTGCCGGAGCCCGTAATCTGGATGTTGAAGCACTGCGGGTAGTTCTGGGCGCCGTTGAGCGAACCGGCTCCGTGGAGGGCAATGATCTCGTGGCGGAACACATAGTTGCCCGTCGCGAGAGACTTGGGCACCTTGACGGTCCAGACACCCTTGTTGTCGATGAGGTCCTGCGAAGCCCACTTCTGGGTCGACAAGTTGATGCCTGCCTCTTGGATCTTGACCCATCTGAGGCTGTTCTTATCGGCCTGGGTACAGTTACCCGAACACTTGGCGACGTAGGTCAGAATGGGGCCGTAGGGATGTGGCCAGGTCGCGGGCCAGTTGAACTGCACCGTCCCGCCGGCGGCAACAGAGGCGGTCAGAGTTCCCGGCGAAGCGTTCTTGTGACAGTTGATGTCCGACGTTTGGTAGGCATTCGGAGCCACGAAACCGCTGTCCAGGTTCTCGGCATACCAGGCTGCAATGTCGGGGACTTTCTGTTTGTTGACCTTGGCGTAGTAGTAATCCAGGATGAACCCCTGGTGCTGCGTGCCGTCCGTCTTGAAGCTAGTCACCATGCCGTGACCCAGGGCGGTCGCGGCCAAGGTACTGAGAAATGTGAACGAAAGGGTCGCGTGCGGCAGCATTTTGGCTGGACGACAAGGGGATGTTTCGTATGAACTGTAACAAACTCGTGGACCCTTTAAGTGTAGCACCCGTAACTTCAAATGGATAATGGCTGCCCTGGTTAAGATATCAGTGGTTCCGGTATAATAGACTCACATGAATATGAACAGCGGTAAGCCAGTTTATATGTCTCGACTGCCAGGCAGCCAAACTGCTGCGTTCCCGGTTTCTCCTGAATTTGTTCTGGCATTCGACAGGCATCAGATGTTCTTCGTAGGAGGCCGGGAGAAGTCTCCCCATTAGCATCCTAGTAGCAGTAGTAATTTCTTCAGGTTGACGATACCTTTAATTTGAGTGGTGGAAGTTCTGGAAGCAGCCGCGGTACCTCGTCCTCCAGCATCTTGAAATGGCATAAGAAGTCTCGAGGGCAAGCACCAAGGTGGTGGTTCGGATCGCTTTGTTCCGCCTTGGCCTGGCCGGGTTACCATCCACAGTAACCTGAAAACACGGCACATGCGTGATGTCGATCGGCGGGAAACCAAGATCATCGTGTTATGGTATGGTGCCGGATCCCCTAGGCCGAAAGGCGGAGGTTCCTTCGACGGGAGATGTGAAGTGTTTCCGAGCTTCCAGTTCATTCTAGGTCCAGTCCGGTCGAGAGTATAGTCAGCAGCATACCTAAAATCCATTTTGATCGATGAGAGGTACAATTAAAAGTACTAGTACTGCGTCGACTGAAGTACCTTAGCCACCGGCAGTTTTGAATGAACGGGTGGCGTTCCTTCCAGTCAAACCTAAGGTAAGGTACGCAAGCAGGTAGGAGCGATCCCGTAAAGATCAGGGCCATTGAACGGCTTGGTTTCCAAGATGCGTCATTCTTTTCATACCCGATTATTGGTATGTATATTATCTGAATGAGAATGCCTTTAGGAGTTGTTAGGGTCTGCCCTAACAAACGGTTGGGTTCGGTTGTACTCTGTAGGTAGACTGGAGTCTACACCGATCAGGTTTACCCGTTGCTACTAGTATCTACGGTAGGTCTATGCTTTCATTATTCATTCCCTTTCTTTCTAGGCATATATATCATCAACCTACAGGTAAGGTAGTAGTGGTAAGGGGCATCTAACAGGCTTGGAAAAACACCAACCATTGAGCATCATCATGGACATCATTCGTAAGGTGTGTACAAGTATCACTTTGCCGGGTAGAGACAACCTTCTTAGCCATATTCATTTTTCAAATGCTCATTCGCGCAGGGTAGAGTGCCTTTGCCATGGATATAGAGAGGGGAAGAAGAAGAAGAAGAAGAGAACCCTGGTAGAGATGACTGCTACAATAAAAACGATACTACCGGTAATGTAAATCTACTGTATCCTTGCATTCCCTTACTCTTTTTCCCTTTATTCAATATACCGCTCAATAACAAAGGAGCAATGACAAAAGCTGTTGCAAACTGTAGGGAGGTACATCTCGTGATTCTCATTCCGTTGTTCTAGACACAAAGTGACAAGCAGACAAGGCCATTGTGTCATGGGATGTGCCAGGTGGTTGGTTCATGGGGTGCAATCTGCCAGTGGCTGTTCGACGGCAGGGCAACAACAACCCGACCTTTGGCTTTGAGGCGGTGCTAAAATGAACGCAGTCATCAGGCCTCCCATTATGTGATACATTGTGTTCAAGGTGTTTTATCCCATCTTCATTATGAATGCTGTCTTTTGGTCTTGGGACATCAACCCCCTGGGTATTTGAAATCTGGCTGTTCGACGGCAGGTCGAACAACACGGCCAACCTTTGAGGCGGCGCTTAAGGTTGAACGCAGTGGTTAGGCCTCCCATTCCGTGACACATTGTGTTCAAGGCGTTTTATCCCATATGGATTATAAATGCTGTCTCCTGGTACATCAACCCTCTAGGTATTTAAAGCCTCACCTACTGCCTCACTTTTACAGACAACCCCCAAGAGAATCTTTACTACCACAAAGAATCCAACTTGAACCTAACATTGAACTTAAACTTTCTTGTGCGCAGAGGTTTTCCGCCGCAGTCACACTATGTCAGAAAGGACGGAACTCCCCCTCTGGGACCAAGCTTCGATGCGCGGCTACATGTCCTTCGCGGCTTGTTTCCCACTCGACAATCTGGAGGTGAGTAACAAGCACGTTCTTGACCATATTCAGGGTGCGACAGCCCGTTTGGCCGCAAGCAGACCAGATTTTGCCGGGGGCCTTGTCCTGACGAATCCGAACGGATGCGCTGACAGGATGGCTGTTTTCTTTGAGACGTCCTCAACTGACTCTATTTCTGTAGGGGAGTTGAATGCCAAGTTTAAGGACTTGTACGACGAGATCAAGGAAAACGGATTTCCAGCACGCCTGTTTGTCAGGCCCGAATTCACCATCTCTGTTGATCTTCTCCCGCATAAACCTATTCCTGTTTCGCGAATCCGGGTGCTCTTCATCAAGGGCGGCTTCTTTCTCTTCGTATATCTGCACCATGCCTATGGTGATGGGAAATATCGCCGCCGCGTACATCGAAGCGCTCTCAGCAGAGACTCGGAACGTCGGCAGCCCATCTCCAATGCCCGCCGATGAGATTTGCTGCACATTGAACCTCCCATACTCCCAGAAGCAATACCAATTGTCTTTCTCGGAGCTCTTGAAGAAATGTCCAGAGTATGGGTTGCTTCACGACGGCACCGGTCTGACCCAATTCCTCCCATCGAAATGGGATCAGTTAGAGAGTGTGGGTAAGACGTTTGTCATTGACATGGCCAAGGTTGACAAGATTCGCAACTCGACGAGTGAGGCGAAAGTCACTCGGTTGTCTCTGTGCTCGCCGTTGACATGGGCGCACGTCACTCTGGCTGGCCTGGTTGACAGAATTCGCAGCTTGACGAGTGTTGACAAGTTTCCAAACTCGGTGAGTGGTGTGAAAGTCACTCGGTTCTCTCTGCTCTCGGCGTTGACATGGGCGCACGCCACCCGGGCTCGCCTGGCAGCGGGTGAGCCCGCCGCTGCTGACTGCAATTCCATACAGCCCCGTTTCTGGAACCCACATGATTGGATGGGCCCTCGCAAGGGACTGTTTAAGGACGAACCCTCAAAAGCCAGATATTTTGGGAACTCGGTCGTCTTGCCGGTTACGAAGCCATCAACGCTCAAATGTGAAAAGGACCTTGTTGAGGCCTGCGATTGGCAATCTGCAATTTATCAGGGCCGGCTTCCATCAAAAATCATTGACATTGCGCAATCAATCATGCAAGCCAACCGGAGTGTTGACGAGGACTTCGTTCTGACCCGGACGGCGCTTTTCGCCGCCATGGATGATCACCGCAAGCTCGGCGTTGATTTGAATCCCCGTTTGCCCCATCATTTCTCAGCCAACACCTGGGCATTCATCGGCCAAGGGGCGCGTTTTCACTTTCCCGGAGTGAACCTGGCTGGAAATGGAGGCCGGCCAGATGCTATCCGCAGGATCCAGAATGCTTGGGCGCGTCCGCATGCCTTGATTATGCCGACACGGCCCGGCATTGAGGACGATGAGGTTGAATTGTTGGTGACGCTACCAGTCATCTCGATGAACCGACTGGTGCAGGATGAATCGTGGATGAGCCTGGTCAAGCGAGTGGTCGACTGAGTGGCACCTACTAGACAGGAAATATCGATTAGGTCTCTTCCGGAATGTAAATTAGCACCTCCTGGACAGAAATAGAAACTAGATCTCTCCCTTGACGTAAATGAAAGATACTTACTAGAGAAATAGCTCTATTTTACCTTTCCCATTCTGTGACGCTTCCCAATATGAGCACCTTCGCCCGCGCCCTCCTTCTAAGAAGGCGTAGCTACGGCCTTACTCCCCTTCCTCTTCTTCCCCTTCTGCAAACCGCTCCCACCACCGGTAGCACTACCACCGGGTGTCCTAGGACTTTTAGTTTCCTTTCCCGCTTTCCCTCCTGCGAGAGGGTTCTCGGCCGCCAGCTTGGTGTTGAGGGTGGGCAGGGCAGGAAGGAGGGTAGGTTTCTTGAGGTTGGCGGCAGCGGCGGCGGACAGGTTCACGGCGGGCCCCTTGCGCCCCGTGGACGACAGGTGGAATTCGCCCGGCTTTCCAGTTATCGGATTCTCATCCATGTACTGCTCGCCGAATTGGTGGTGGATTGCGAGCGCCTCTTCAAGGAACCGGGGGCTGGGTTGGTTGCTGGCTGTGGGCTTGTTGCTGGGTGGAAGGGGGGTTGCCTCGCGCTGCGTTTTGGTGCCTGTGGTGGTCTGGGTCCCGCCGGTAGGGGTTTGATACACGCGCCCAAGCGAGGCGGACCAGGATTGAATGCTTGCCGCAATGGGCAGCGGCTTTGCTATTGAGGAGGATATTGAGGCCTGCAAAGTTCATCGGAAGGTTAGGCTCCGCTTGGATGTTGTATGAAGATGCTGGGGCTTACAATGCGCGAGCTGATGATGTCGCCTAGGGTCGGTGCCATGTAGATGTTCTCGCCGACAATAAAGTAGGTTGCGTGCACAATGATCTCGTCCTCTTCGCCCTGTCTCTTGCGCCGTGTCTGCTTGTTGATGACCCACACACCGGTTCCGGCTCCTGGACCCGTCTCGGCCGGTTCCTGCGCCACGACGAACTCGAGCCCCGACATTGTCTTTAGGCGGCCTTCAAAGAGCTCTCGGGTCGCCAAGAACTGCGTCATATTCGGGTTGTTGAGCCCTTGCTGAAAAACAACTTCATTATTGGACGTCTTGTCGAAAAATGGCGATTGGGCGAAGTAGTAGAGCACGCTGTTGCTGTGAATGCCCTGCTCGAAATCGGGCGGAGCTCGCCATTGTATTTCGTCCAGCGGCGGGCCTGTGTTGGCCGCCAATTCAGAAGCCATATCAGTGGATTGGTTGGGTATCTGTCTTGTAGAGGTGTAGTTATGTGTAGCGAAGTCAATGCTCCGGAGGATGAGCTTTCTTCACACGTGCTGGATGATGTGAGCTGAGTTGAAGTGCATCGATGAAGCTGCATGCAGGTGAGATCCGCCCCACCAGAGTCCAAACGGACGCTGATCCCGGCATTTCCAGGGTTATGTGGGGCATGTGGGATTTTGGGGAATGCAGCCAGATCCGCTTCCAGCCCAAGCCTTCCTCAATTCAACCTCAAAGCTACTTCGTATCGCCTCTGCAATTGCAGCACTTCTTTTCTCCAACCACTGCATCTGTTTGGATATCGAAAATAACCCGACCACATACAAACTAATTCAGAGGGCTCATGGATCTCCTATCCACAGTCCGAAAGACCGGTTCGCGCGGCGGCGTTAACTTCAGCTGGGACGATGTTGCCACATCGGCGCACCGTGAAAACTATCTCGGCCACAGCATCAAGGCACCGGTAGGGCGATGGGCCAAAGGCCGCGATCTCAATTGGTACGCCAAGGCAGAGCCGAGCGCGGCGAACTCAACAGAGACCGAGGAGGAAAAGGCAGCGCGCGAGCGCGCCGAAGAGATTCGCAAGATTAAAGAAGCCGAAGAAGATGCGATAGCCCGTGCGCTAGGCCTGCCGATTACGCCACGAAATGTAACCGGAGCGAACGCAGTGGCAGTGGAGGGATCGAAAGTGCCAAACCGCGCAGAGCCGAGGGATGATCGAGGCCGAGATTCACGCAGAGAACGTCACAGAGATGAAGATGGCCGGGAAAGGAGAAAGCACAAGGGTAGAGAGCGGGAGCGAGACTACAGTTTGGATCGGGCGCGGGATCGAAGTAGGGAAAGGAGACGCGATGACCCGAGGAATGGCCCAAGGGATAGCGGAGCAAGGGACGTTCGCCAGCGGCGGAGGAGCCGTAGTCCAGAGTATGATAGCCGTCGCCAGGAACGACGACGAGATGGCGGCCGCGACCGGAGCCGGAGTCGCGAAAGAGAGTACAGGAGGCGGCGGAGCAGAAGCCGCTCCCGTAGCAGCAGCCGCGACAGAGCTAGGACGAGGCATCACGGCAGACGGCGGAGCAGGAGCAGAGACAGGGCTGACAGGTAGTCGACACATCCATCTCTCTTTGCGAAAAGCACCAATGGAATGGCGGTACTAGTTACCTGGAGAATCAATCAACACGCACTGCAATGTGTCCCTATTAAGATAGTGTGATGTGCTGGCAAGACGTATGAGGAGCATGGCGATGAACATAGGCCTGTGGAATTATCAGAAGGCTGCTCATTCTTGTACAGGATTCCTCTACAGTTGGTCCTTCATCCATTTTATGTGTAGTACTACGTTGATAGTACGCTCGGAGCGTAGCGTAATGCACCCTGGGCGTCGTTGATATCGTCTTTAGGAACCACTAGGTGGACCCTGAGAAGTACGTACCTAGTACGAGACTCGCGGACTCGGAGCGTTGTCCATAGTGCGAACACTCAAGGCTATTACTGTGTGGAATCTGACTCGGAGCGACTTAGGGGTCTCACCCCTTTTTGTAAGCCGAGTGCCCACTATAGTCCCACAGCTGAAAGTTCCCAGCCGCTTAGCTTAGTCTACTAAACGTATACTGCAAACTTTTCTCAATTGCTTGGTCTAAGTAAGCCGCTTGGTCTAGATTCAGCCGTTGTAACAACGGCTGGAATAGAGTAAGCGGCTTGGAGAGTAAGCAGCTAGAAAATGCTAGCAGTTGGGATAGAGCAGTA